CCCACGTTTTCCAATTCAAAGCGAGGGATTGCATGGCAACGTTAGAGGGTCACGACCTAAACGACGTCTGACTAAAGCTCTTTTTAAGAGTCATGAGTAAGATAGCAACGAGCTGCGCGATTGAGCACGGATATGTCAGGCCTCGTAAGCCAATAAACTGTACGATAAAGCCTGCCGCAGCTGTGACGGCTCCACAGACGGCCAATATTTCCCATTTGCGAAGGTCCATGTGGGAACGGCGGTTGGCCTAGTTAGCGACTAAATCAGTACCGACATATCTTCTCGTCTACCACGTTTTCAAGCCGAAACTTACAGGCTTTGTGTGATATGAGTCGGCATTGATGTGTTTGCCATATCTGTCTCTAGACCGCCTTCTTTGTCCCGAGGCATCGGTTGACCCGCGCATTGGTTTCATATCTTCGATGCGGCTGGATGTGATGACATGATATTTTGGTCCAGCTAGGATTGTGTAACCACCGAACGACTGGTCATTGACTTCCTGGCTCTGCTGTAACCACAATAGTCGAGGGCTATGGTCTATGTTAGCGTTTCCCTCGGTTGCTGGTGTTCTCCTGGGTACGGATTCCTCTTCCGCGTTGTTCTGGACCAATAGCCTCCAATCATACTCGACTGTGTTCCGTTCCACAGCCAAAGAGCATACCCCGACGCCAATGGATAGTAGTATAGAGCCAGTGATATAGCATGAATAACCATAGCTTTTGGGTTCAAACGATATTGCCCTTCGAGTGCGTTCGTGGTATACTGTTATGGTGGCAACAGCTATCAAGCTGGCTTGCAGCAGTACTGCAGCCACTGCAGCGATGAAGATTTCATGTCTTTTCTTGAAAAACCCCGTACCGAACTGATCGGTAGATAGACCCAGTTGAAGATTGGGCGGACCGAGCGACTCAAAAATCTTGTCACGATCAAGTTCATCTTCGTCCATAGTGTTTTTTTTGCCCAGAATACGTGCCACGAGGCTGCGCATGATCTGGAAACTGAGGCTTTGATATTCTGTATACTCGTCAATTTCCAAATGAGCTCGAGAAACGTGGGACACATCTACTTCGCAATTCCATGAGCTTGTCCCTTGAGCCCTCTGGGGATGCCGCAGTTTGTAAAGTATGGATGCCACATGAAAGATCATCTGTTGAATTGTCTGTATTGATGGGTTTGTTGTTCGTAATCGTAGCGGCTTCTTTACTCAGCCCATACGATGTATCTGGGGTCAGCATCTGGAGATCCGCCTTTTCATATCTCTTCCGGAGTGTGTCGTATTCTAGTGGGAATATGAGTATCTGCGCTATTGTGGGTTTGCCCATAACTCGTACGACAGACTTTCCGTTGAACACTTCGCATACTTCCTTCGATGTAGATGACATCAATTCGAATTCAGCGAGTGCGCGATTTTCCCTACCGCGGCCAATGAAGGACTTTATGATTCTTGGACCTTGAACGCGTATAGCGCCTGTTATGCTTGTTATGATACCCAGAGGCACCATTGCAAAGAGCAGATGATCAACCCATGTCAGGCTCTCGCTCGCAAATTGCCTCGCGAACTGGTCTCCGAATAGCGCAAGCAGTCTATGCGGTCAGTGATACGTCTCGCATACTGTGGATTTACACGTACGGCGCAATGTCAGAGAATAGGTTGAAAGCAAACTCGGCGTCCTTGTCGTCGTCTGCCATTTTCTCAACGGCACTCTAGGCGTAATTTATTGCGACCAGGCTGGAGAGTGGAGTAGAGGTTGCGAAAAGCTGCGGCGATCGAAAATGGCCAGTCCAACGCAGGGTAATAAGCGCTTGTGGACGAACACAAATCCCAAATGCACTCAATAAGCAAGGTCGCTGGCGAGTGAGTGATGGGAACACGTTGTCGAGCTCCAGTGACGACATGGCACACATCTGCAGCCTGGCGGCGTTATGATTGGAAAGCAATCTGCATGCGATAGCAAAAGGACGTGAGTCCCGAATCAGGCTGAAGAAGGAGATTCAGCCTGCCTTGCTCGTTCGACGTCGGTTGCGCTGATTTTGAAAATCAGCATTCTTGTAGATGGTTCGCGAAGCTGTTAAGTGAAGTTGTCGACCTCACATTGCGATTCAAATCTGTCGCGGATTCATCGAAACCCTTCAGGGGAATCAGGGGAAGTGATAACGGGATGATGAGACTAGGCAGCGTACGATATGTGGTGTTGCACGGCATGGCTGCGGCATGGCACCGGTGAGCACCCCGCTCGGGAACCCTGCGTTTCTGCTTGAATGGAAAGCGACGCTGCGGTACGTAGCGTATTCTTGTGATGAGCAACACACTGCTGATACTCTACGCTGCTTCACCTTGAATAAAGTGGTATAACAATTCTCAAGGGTGGCTTCTGAAACAATGACTGAATTGACTTCCAATGCTCGATGCCATAACGGCCGTGATGACATAGACAGTATCCTACCACCTTAACGTCAAAAATGCTCCGTAGATGCACATAACAATAACGAAAACTCAAAACAGATGCAATGCAATCAAGCGCAACGCTCAATGAACAATTGGAAAACGAAAGGGATAAGCAGCCCAAATCCACCGTTCCCACCATCCAGGGTATCATGAACTTCAAACATACTCCTCATCCAACAATGCTAATTCTTCCTCTGCATATCCTACTTCCCCGAGCGATCGATGATGGGCCCACCCGAGTCAGGCAGAGCGGACAAGAGACTACCTGGCGCAATCTGATTACCCTCTTTGAGATTGATCATGGGACCTGTGGCTTTTGAGCCATCCATGACTCCTCGACCAGCGGTGGCGGGACCTTGTGAGTACCCAGCTTGTGCGAGTAGACCGCCAGTAAATGCCTCGCTATCGTCTTCTGGCGCCGCGGTGTGGTTGTTTTGCGTATAAGCGGCCAGTGGCTCACCGCGACCCTTTAGTGACCTGGTGCGTCCGTAGTTGCCATGGTAACGCGAAGCTGTCGCTGGTCGGGCACGCCAGTCGGAGGATGGAGGTACTGCGATTGCCTCCTCGATTGACGTTGCGCTCTCTACTAATGGACCGCTGCGAGCTCCGGGTGTGTAGCCTTTACCCTTGCCGTTTTTGGAGTGTTGGGGCGGCGGGCGGTACGTTGGTGTCAGGTCTATCAGAGGTTCTGGCATACCTGGTGCGCGCTTTGAGACAGTGCGTTTGAGGTCGCTTGAGTTGCGCTTGTGGTGGGTGCTGCGCGTGCTGTGCACAGAAGATCTGCGGCTCAAGCCTGACTCATTGTTCGTCGCAGCCATACGGTCCATGCCACTAATCAGTGATGGGCCATCTGTGAACGGACCGTTTTGCTTTTGCTCTCGCTCTTGTACTGCCTTTTGACGGGTCGTGTATGCTCGACCGAGAAGTCCGGTCGCCGCGAATGTCTCCTCTTCTGGTTGGTCCCAAGCTTTGTCTCGCTGGTTCTTGTTGCGTGTTATGTGAGGGAACGCTGTCGAGAAGTGTTGCGTTTCTCTGATAGGCGGAAGGCGGTGGCTGCTTGACACGGATAGATTTCTTGCGGGCGTGCATAGCGTTGGCACCGAGCCCTGCTAAAGGCTTGTCGTCTGGGAACTCTCCCGGCTTATGGACTTCAATCGAGTCCAATGTCTTGTTTAAGCCGTCAAGATCCATGAACGATGAAAAGGTCCCAAGTTGGTAGTGAGATCCCACAGACTCTCCCCTCGTATGAGATGATGCAACCGGTCCTCCTGCGGCACCGGAGACGCTTCGCTGTGCGTGGGTCTTTTTCTTGGCACCTTCGCCCAGTTGATGCTTCAAGTACCAGCTTCGCCAGCGCTGTAGGGCCTTGTAGAACATGGTTGCTGTATCTCTGTCGTTGGTGCAGAAGAAGTGCACATATTGCGACTCGTCGGCAAAGATGTTTGACTTTTGCAAACTCTTGACGGCAAAGCATATCTTCTTTGGTGGCTTGACCATGGCCAGCTTCTTTTGCGTGACTGTGTAGATGTCGTAGTCTGTCATGGTCAAGATGTTCTCTTGGTCCTTCTCTTTCGCCTTCTCGTTCTTGGCCATGACTAGTTGGCCATCAGGTTTTAGGGTGAGGTAGCGTTTCGACCATTTGCCAGGACGTGACGAGTACTGGATGAAGCAGGACATGCCATCTGGCCTCGTTTCGGGTACTTTGTAGGCAAGGAGGTCGTCCTGGTCGATGCCGTCGAGTTCCGAGTCAATGATGGTGAGGTCGTTCTGGTTGTCGGCATCCCAAGAGTTCATGACATCCCGCACGTACTCGTAGTTGCGCAGGGGTCGCATGATGCTGACTTTGATAAACAGCTCTTGCATGACTGCTGTTCGGACGTCAATTGGCTCAGTCAGAACCGTGGCAGCTGTCTTGATCAAATCGAGAGGGGTAGTCGTGGGCGTGACTGGCAGTAGGATACGCTTCTGGCCACACACGACTGCAACTCGCTGTCGTTTGGTTAGCATTTCGTCCGGCATGAGACTGCGTGTAACCTACCCTATCCCCAGCGTTCACAGCGGATGTTGGCGCGTCAATTCCTCGGACTGCGCCGCCACCTCCTGGCTTGATCGTCTCTGCCTGGCGGTGGTCACCGAGATCTAAAGCGAGCTGAGGCGCTTTCGATGCAACAACAGGAGCTTCTGGAGTCAGGTCGTCTTTCCTCCGCTTGAAGAGGCCAAAGTTGGTGTCGTGCCGTGGGGGCGATACAGGAGATGAAGAAGACGGGGCCTTTGCAGTGCGAGGCCTCTGCTCCTCAATCTTTGCCTTGCGCTCGAGCTCTTCCAATTTCACTCTGCGGGCCTCCTCTTCTCGCTGCTGGAGCACTTTGTGGGCCTCTGCCTTGCGGAGCCGCTTGCCCCGATCGCGCTCGGCCCGCTGCTCGTCTTCTTGTCTGCGCAGGGCTTCTGCTTCTTCGGCCTCGCGCTGGGCTTCCCGCAGTGCAGCTTCCTCCTCCTCCCGTCGCAGCCTTTCCACCCGTTCCAGCTCGGCTTGTTTGGCCTCCCTCTGTGTGCGCGCTTCGGCCTCGTATTTCTCCTTCATCAGCCGCTGCCGCTCGCGCTCTTTCTGCAAGAGCTCCCGCGCGCTGTCCTCGGCCCTGGGCGACCGTGGTGACCGTGGTGACGGCGACTGGGCAGAGGCAGGGCCCGGCAGCATCTTCGCGCGTTCTCGCCGTCCGGGGGCGGTGTTTCGCTGGGTTCGAGGCATTCTGGGGGGAGCTCGCAGCGCGTGTTCGCGACGAGGAGGGCTGCTGTGTCGAGGGGTGTTTGCGGCGTCAGCACGGCGTTGGCGCGCGGAGGGGGCAGCGCTGGGGTGGTCGCGTGCGTGACTGTCGGTCGGCGGTGGTAGCGACTCATGCTCCTGCTGATAGGGGCGTCTTTCTTGGGCTCCATGTCGGATCCTGCTGGCATGGAAGGCACTGCGGGAACTGCGGGGACTGGTGGTGCACTGTGTTGTTGATGCTCTTGCTGCTGCTCTTGTGCGCGTCTTACGCTCCTGTAGCGCGACATTTTGGGGGTTGTGGTCGCTGGGGGGACTGTCTCTGTAGCCATGCCGGCACGTGTATGCAGTGCGACAGGGCGCTGCTGGAATGCAAGGGACCAACAACGACAGCACGCACGCAGCACAGAGGAGTGAGGGGGTCAAGAGCAGACAAATAGGGCACGCAAGGGTGAGTATGGAGAGTGGATAACACGGCAACTGCACGCGCGCCTGGCTGTGCCTCGAATCGGTTACCGGGGCTCGATGACCGAATCTCCTCCTTGACGGGGCATTTCGCATGCAAGAAATTAAGTACGCCTAACCATGCACGCGGGAGGCAGGAGCCGGCTGGCTTCTTGCGTGGTGGGCACGTTCAGGGGGGATGGTTGGTTTCGTCCTAAATTGATCATGTTAGCCGACCGTTCCAGCGCCTGACTGTAGACGCGGCCAGTCGCCTACCAGTCGCGCATAAACGATGCACGCATTGGGCGCTATTTATGAATCAAATTCCACCATGCTGTGGCTGGTTTATGCCGCCTGTTTCCTCTTTGCGACTGCATCACGCTGTCTCAGCCACTCGCCCCGTTGATCAGCCCTGCATGACCTGCAGCGGGCGGGACGATCATGCACGTCCCCCAACGCCCATGCATTGTGGCATTGTGGCGGGTGAGCAGCCTTTCTCTCTGACTCTTTGCCTGACGCAAACAAGTCAATACGCTAGCTCGCGAGGCATGTAGTAGTTGCGATGCTACTCCACACTCGATAAGAATGTGCGCCTTCACCTAGTCCGACATGGCAGGTGACAGTAACGTCGATAGATTTGTAGCACGCTCGGCACATCTCTCAATTCGCGCTACTCTCCATCATTACCCCATGTTTTTGTCTAGTATGGGCGCCCGATCCCCGACGTTGCATCCAGATTCTGCCATAACCAAGTACACAGGTGGGTATGCGCAGTGACTCGAGAGATTTACCTTTGCGTGAGTTGGACGCCATGTCGCCTACCTTGACTACGACGGAAAGCGACCAATGTACACCGGGCTATTCGAAAAGTCTAAGGCTTTACATCTATCACTAGGCTTCACAAACGAAAGCAAGTCGCTAGGTATTCTCTTCCATGGCTGATGACTGAAGTCCTACAGTAGGGAGGTGTTCGCAGCAATGACCTGCTCTTTCACCTCTTCCAGCTCGCCTACATTTGCTCAACATCTACGCCGAACACATTTCTCTACTTCCACTTCTCCATCCACTTTAAACTCAAGTATGCACTCCCCCCGTCTCATTTCTGCTCTTACAATCGTCGTCCTCATTCTCGTCACCATATACATCCTTTATCCATCCTATTCTGGCTCCGGAGCTCTCTTACCAGCCAACTCCACCCTCGGGTTCGGCACCATACTAGCAGTCAGTCACACTGACTCGCCCCGCCGCTCCGGTCTTCTATGGGCCGCCAACCTCACCAATCTGGCCATTGAGATACCAGATCAGCCAAGATGGACTGAAGGCGATTTCCAAGCATTCACGGCGGAGGAGAATACTATCAGTAAGGGAAGCGCGTTTGCTTGGATGGGGCATCTGAACGCTTTGAGACGGTAAGAATTGAATTCTTAGTCGTAAAACAGCCTCAGCTCGAGCTGTACGTCTAACACACTGCTGCAGGTTTCTAGACACATCCCACGAAACTGCTCTAATAATCGAAGACGACACCGACTTCTCACTCCACATCCGCCAGACACAAATCCCCCTCCTAGCCGCTGCAGTACGGACGCTCTTCGACTCAATCTCTGCTTCTCCCAACGACTACTGGGGCCCGCGAGGCGCATGGCAAATCCTCTACCCAGGCCACTGCGACGACCTGCCTCAGCCAATCGAGCCTTCTCATCTCGCATACCACGACCCCACATCTCCTGCTCACACCTCTTTACATCCAGCTACGCAATCCTTCCTCACCCCCAACCTGCTCCCACCGCAAACTCGCATCTTGCATCGCACGCGCTACCCCTTCTGCACCTTTGCGTATGCCGTGACGCGCGAATCTGCTGTGCTCATACTCGAGCGATTCAGCAAGGAGAAGGAAAGTGGTATATCGGCCTACGACGTCCAGCTTCTCGAAGCGTGCACGGGGAGCTTAGGATGTTGGAGTGTAGTGCCCGAGCTGTTTCATCATGTTGTTGGGGCTAGTGAGATTGGTCGGCAAGATGCGGGGGGAGGTGGTCGGGTGGGTGTGGAAGTGCCGGACAGAGGGACGTGGAATGTAGAATGCGGAGCGAGGGACAAGGGGGTTTGGGTCGACGAGGCAGACAGAGAGGTTAGGGAGGAGGTGAAGAAGCTGATTGGGGATATGGTGGTGAGGAGCGAATGTCCGATTGATAAGCTGGACTCGGAGAAGGACTGGAGAGGATGCGAATGGGAAGAATGTGGTGCGCAGTCTTGATGGCGCAGCAAGACTGCTACATGAGTTTAAACTTGAATAAACAGCTACATGAGCAATGAATGACTCCAAAATACAAGACCTTATCAGCTACAAAGAGAGGACATGCCATTATTCCAAATCAAAATGATTTCATTCAAAAGGGCCTCTGCGGTCTACACAAAAAAGGTTGCCCTGTGTCGTAGTCTAGGTATCATGCCTACATGCCTACATGCCCATTTCCCTATATCGTACACAAATCGCGGATAACGAAATGGATGGGTATCCAAGAAGAAAGGGAAAAGATGTGAAGAAGAAGAAGAAGAAGTGAACGCCGTCCGCCAAAATGAATGCCTGTTAACGCCACAAATCCGCCCTTGAAGCCCGCTTCTCACGTCCCGCATGACTCATCCAGCTTGCCCGCGGGCTAGGTTCGCCACCAAAACTCTGAGAATGCGAGTGTCCGTGTCCAAGTCCTGCAGCGGGACCAAGATTACCGGCGCTCCTTGGTCGTGCGTCGTCTGCTGGTATAGCGAGGAATCCTCCGAAGCCGTTCGGTACGACCACACTCTTTCTTGCATCTCCTCCCCATTGCGCGCCAAGTCCTTTGTGCGCCGAATAGCTGCTTACTGGCCGTCCAACGGATATTGATGCGCGACGCCCATGACCCTCCGGAGGTATGATAGATGTGAAGATCCACTCAAGCTCATCAAGACCTTTTGAATACACTTCGAGCGGCTGGTTGAACATGGGAGGTGGTGCTTCGCTGAAAGGCCGGACAGGTGGTGCTAATGTGAGGATCTCTGGGAAGTCTGGGTCGCGTACGTAGAGCTGGCGGAGGGCGGGAAGACAGTTGTTCATGAGCGACTTGGCGAGGTACTGATAGTACGAGGCGCCTGGAGGGTACAGATGATTCGAGGAAGTGGATATGATCTCGTAGTTCAGCTTGTGTAGTGTATAGGAGCCCATGGGCGGAATCGGATCTAGTGGGAGAGAAGCTGCCACGAGTGCAGTATACTCTAGTGTCTTCAGACTTGTCGCCGCCTGGAGGACCATGTAGAGAGATGTAGGCAGGATGTCAGAGCAGTTCTTTATGACAAGGGTCCGCAGCCTGTTTGCACACATGGGACTGGAGAGGTACTGCGCCAGACCTTCGGCAGTGACGCCGGTGCACCCTTTTCCAGCCTCACAGTGTCCTAGTGCTGGGCAAGTCGGGCAGCCCTGGAGCAGGTGTGAAAGGTGTAGTCGTTCATCCATGACACGCCCACAACGACGAGCTCGCTGAGGTTGGGAAGCATGCCAAAGACCTGGCGCAGCACGCTGGGTTCGATGTGGATCTTGTTCAGCTCGATGACGCTCAGCTCTTGCCAGTAGCCGTGCATGAGCGACTCGAGGGTCTGCTCTCCGCCCTCGTTGTACTTCATCTTCCTGATGTGGGGACAGCGCGCCTGGAGCTCCTGCCGCAGCAACTGGCACGATGGGTCGCCGGTGTAGAAGCCATCTGGCAGGTCGATGTATTCGAGGTTGGGACAGCCTGAGACGGTCCGCGCGAGGTCCGCCTTTGCCGACTCTCTCAGCATGTATGGCAGCTTGATGAAGCGCACGCGCTGGCCGAGGTACTGGTTGCCGCGCACGCTCTGGCACAGCTGCTGGAGTCGGGCGGTGGGGCGGTCGACCTCGTCTCCGTGGCGCGACTTCCTTCGCTGGTCCGCAAAGACCTCTTCGAGCGCGCAGTAGTGGACCGCGTCAATCCGGATGCTGTTGTATCTGCACAAGTCAGCCTCGATGCTGCCTGGTAGCAGCATTCCACACCTACAGCAGCCCGGCAGCAATGCCGTACCATTGTCGCCTGGTCAGCGCGCAGTGCGCCAGGTCGCGCATGTCACAGCTCATGCACCCATCGTTGCCACTGTCTTCACTGCCATCCAGCGTCTCGTCGGCCGAGTGCGGACAGAGCTCCTCGAAGATGCGGCGCAAAACATTCTCCGGCAACCGTTGGGTCTGGTCAGGTCCGGTGTACGTGTAGGTGGCCGACGAGTAAGCTTCATTCCATGGGGCTACATTGGCGGGCTTGCTCTTCTTACGCGAGAAGCGCTTGAAGAAGCCCATGATGCCGCGGGGCGAACTAGTTGCGGTTTGATTAGGGAGCGTTCACAATTGAGTGCACACAGATTGTTTGCTGGCAGTGTGCAGGCCCAAAGGCAGGTGTGGTTCTACTTACTCGCGTCGCGAAGATGTTGCGGGGAAGCTAGAAATGGACATGGCCAAGCAATAGCTATGGACACTCGTGTGAAAATGGGCAAGCGGGTCCGGGGCGGATACAAGAAGCAGGCAAGCTGAGCTGTCTACAATGGCGCTTGCACAAAGCCCGGAGACGCGTTAAGGGGTGATCTATGTACGACAAAGACAGAGAGTCAGGCAAGGCGCCCGCAACAAATAGCGAGTGCTGTGGCGGTCTAGTGCCCGTTGTACATGTAAGCAAATCTCCCTGCGATCAGCCCGGCGACAAAAGAGCGAGCCCTTGAAGCCGTGTGGCCGTGTATGCCAACGTCACGTGCATATTGACTTCGCCGCGGGGATGAAGATCGACAGGGATTCCACACAAGACGCCAACGCGGACTCAAGTGCGGAAGAGCAGATGAAGATCTCTGGATGTGAAACAAGGGACGATCCGGGACCGTCACCGTCCACCAGTGCATAGCAAAGCCGGTGGAGGCCAACACGTGTCTGTTGGAGGTGGCGCCGTCCTTTTCCATGGAGACATGTAGCCATCCGTCAAATCTCAACAAGGCCCGGAGCAGCACCGTCTAGCTTACTGTGTGCTTCGCTCCACAGCGCAGGGTTACCCATATATGCAGCCGTGCTAGAGCGCGGATACTTGCGCCCTCGGGCTCGTTTGTGCCTGCCGTCAGATTGCTCGAGTACGGCGCGAACAGCTCATCTGCAAACTGAGCCAACGTACGGCCGACGTTTCAACGCCTAACGCCTCGGGACCTCGCCGCGCGGAAGCGAATATTGTCCGCCGTGTCCGTCCTGCAGCCAGTCGGATATTGGGCATGTAGAGCGAGCCAGCTCGAAGCGGCAGCAGCCGTTTGGCAGTGAAGGGGGGAGCGGGGGCAGCACATGCTCCATCTAGTCAAAGGTTGCCATGGTGCCGGATTTATGTTGTCGTCGTGTTCATTTGTAAAGCTCATAATGCGCGTCGTCGAGGGGTAATGATAGGACCCACATCTGCACTGATGCTCAAATGGTCTGCCAAGCTAAGCTCTTGATGCATGCGCGTTAGCTTCACTGTCCACGTCAAGAAATCTTCCTGGACGCATTGCTCGGAGCTTCAGTGTATCCGACCGCATCTCTACCTGCTTGGTCTCATCTCACACAAAGACCCGTCACTTCGTCCCGTCTCAATCTCGAGGCTCCGTTTCCCCTTCACCTCCGCTACCAGCTTCGACAGCTCTCCCCCTCACTCGCTGGCTTCACCTTCACCAGCCCGCTGACAATCGCTCCTTCGACGTCCGCCGACAAACCTCGCCCTTTCCTCAACACCAACGCAGCAGCAGCGCCCGCTCGACAAGACGCAACAACACCTCCAGACCATTGACTAATCAGCATTGTAAGATAGGAATCATGGCATCTCAAGCCACACCAAGCCCGGCCGCCCCGAATCTCGACCGGTACCTGGTGATTCACGTGGCCACCACCTGCGACGAGCACGGCGTCTACGTCACGAAGGACTCGGCAGAAGTCATTGAGCTGGGATGGATTCTGTTGGACGCAAAGTCGTGTGAAGAGGTACCGTCACTGCACTACGCACTACGCACCATGCACCACCCCACAATTGCTAACGGCAACAACAGCTGCATAGGGAAAGCGTACTGGTCAAGCCCGTCAACACCCCAATCACGGCACTCTGCAGTAAGTGCACCGCATTGACACATTTTCTGCTCCACGACTGACGCGTCGACTTTTGCAGCTAGCTTGACCACTCTCACCTGGGATCAAGTACGCAACGCAGGATCATTCCGCGACGCCATCGAACGCTTCACAACCTTTGCCCAAGAGCACACCAAGAACCTCGAGTTCGCATTCGTCACCCTCGATTCGTGGGACCTCAGGGTCCAATTGCCGCGCGAAGCTCGCGACAAGGCGGTTGTCTTACCACCGTATCTTCAACATTCACGCACCTTCGACCTCCGCACAGAGTACCAGCGTTGGCAGGCCCACCACCCGGAGAGTCTGCCTTTCGGTTCCAGTGCTTTGACCAACATCTGCGCGGCATTGGAGGTAGAGCCCGTACAATCATCCGCTCCCATCAAGCACAACCTGCCCTTTCACCTGCAGGCCCTTGCCCCCGCCTCCCCGCGCCGTGCTATGGAAGAGGCCGTCACACTTGCCCGAGTTCTGCGAGGTCTCATCCGAAAGAGCCAACCACCGCAGGACCATCCTGACGTTCTTACTAAACCCATGGATGCTCGCGCTGACGTCCGCGCATTCCTATCGGAGCGCAGCAAGGTCCTCCACATGAGTGGATTGCCTCACGACACCACGCAGTCTGAGCTCGAGAGCTGGTTCACCCAATTCGGTGGCCGCCCCATTGCCTTCTGGACGCTACGTACACCTGACCAGCACAAGCCAACTGGTACTGGCTTCGCTATCTTCTCTTCCCACGAGGAGGTAAGTTGCAATCATGTGTGAATAACATGACCTACTGACAAGTCTAGGCTGCTGAGAGCCTTTGCATGAACGGTCGCGCGCTCAACGAGAAGGCTATTGAGGTCTCGCCCTCCTCGGGCCGCGTCCTCGACCGCGCTGCCGAGATCATTACTCCGTTCCCGCCTAGCAAGAATCGCCCTCGTCCCGGTGACTGGAACTGCCCGTCTTGTGGCTTCTCAAACTTCCAGCGCCGCACTGCTTGTTTCCGTTGCTCTTTCCCCGCCATGCAGCAAGGCCCACCGGCTGGAGATGCCATGGGATACCCGGGATACGGCGGTGGTTATGGCCACCCTGGTATGATGGGACCTCCTCAGCACCACATGGGTCACGGCGGTCATGGCCACGGCATGGGTGGCGGTCACATGCGTGGTGGTGCCGGTGCTGTACCTTTCCGCGCTGGAGACTGGAAGTGCGGTGAGAATGGCTGCGGTTACCACAACTTCGCCAAGAACACTGCTTGTCTGCGTTGTGGTGCTAGTCGTGCTGGAGCAGCTGTCGTTGCTGATTCCGCGTTCCCCTCCCCAATGGACACCCCCTCTGGCTTCGGCATGGGCCCTTCCATGGGCGGTACTCCTGGCGCCGGCCCCTATGGTCCTGCTGGTTTCTCCGGTGGCTACCCCCCTCAGCAATACGGAGCGCCGCCTAGCTCGTACGCTCTTCCCGCCGGTATGGGCGGTGCTAGCCCTTACCCTCCTATGAACGCCGGCTACATGCCCAATGGCGGTATGCACGCTACGCCGTTTGACAGCCGCTCTGCTGAGGCCGCTTTCTCCTCCGCCGACCCCTACCCCAACCAGGGAGCCCCTAACGGCGGTGACGGTCGCAACGACCCTTTCTCTTTCTTGTCGACCGGATTCGGCTCGCTTTCGATGAACGATGATCGTCGCAACGCCTCCAACCCGGCCAACAAGTCGCCGGCGTAAGCCACACGTACATATGGTATCGATCTTCTGGAGTCCAGATCTGCACAGCGATTTGATGTGGGACGGTTTTTTTCGGATAGGATGGCACGGGCAAGATTGATTTGAGGGAGTTTGTCGATACTCTGATTAAGATTTCGTGGCATTTGCAGGCTGCCTGGCATGGAAACGGGATTCGGGTGCTTATAGAACTGGAATCACATTGGGGGAGTTCGATACCTTTGCGGATTGAGGTGTTCGGGGGTCGACTGTTACACATTTTCAAAAGCTGGATGGCCGGGCAAAAAGTACAAGCACAGGATGGCGGCAACACAAGGCTTGCCGGGAGCGTCTTCGGAGGACTTCTTGATTTACTGATAGCCTCCTTCTTTTTCTGCATTTCAATGCTCTTTATTGCGTTTGCGTCTTTCCTTTCACCATCCAAATTGTCAGGCACGTAGCCGAACCTTCCTTTCGCGATCATCTCGCATAGCGTTGCGGCGGTCTCAGCGTGGCATTAGGGAGTTGCCGCTTAGCTCGACAGCTGCTTGTAACTAATATGCCCCTTCATCTTCTGGTCTTTACTTTCCGCTTAGGCACTCAGTTGCGCCATACTGAAGGCCAACCTCAAACACATAGCACTAGAGATAGATGTACTTGCTACACATCAGACACAGCTAGTACTTCCACCGCTTGTGAAGTTGAACTATTATGCGCAACAGTTATTATCCGTCCTGGCAAACCTCCAGTTGAAAAGAACGACACTGATCAATGACTATTCTCGCATTCGATGCCACTCCTAGCTTAGAACAAGATCCATCATGCCAATCATGCAAACACTGCTGGCAACGCGAAGTTACGAAGCTAACCCATGTGACGGCTGAAAGATGTGCGGTGTTCCTTGTAAGGCGGGTGCTTAGGCGAACGGTAGCTTTATCTAGCGCGAGCGTTATTTGAGGCGACCAACGCCTGGATAAAGGTAACCCTGTTCGGCCTAGGCGTCCTCTGATGCCAGGATATCGGTTGGCTAAGATCTCAACGGCTCTCGTCTTACTTCTGTCCACATGCAAGAGTCGCGTAGGACATAATTGCCATGCTCTCTAGTGCTTCAATCCCATTTTCATCGCACTGTTCGGACGCAGCGCGCTAGCACCCGGCTTCATGGAACTCCCCAACTGGCAGCCACCATGCTGATCAACGCCCCGCAATGCATGTCACCCATAGTGCGCTTAGGGGCATTCCTCGTATTCTTACTCACGTGCGCCATATTGATCCTGCCGCGAAGATTCGCAGCTCCTCCAACATTCGCACAGGTTCCTGGAAACTCATTCAGGAACGTTACGGAGACAAGCTCGATTTTCAACGCCTCGATAATCGACTTTTGGCAGGACGTCGCATCAGCTTTGGTAGCGACCGCGCCGCAATGCAAGCCTCTCCGAGTCCAGGACGAGCATGTTCACCATGCAGAACACCATTTTGACCCTCTCAATCCAGGGGAAAAGATATCACAGCAACTTCTCAACTTCACGGACCAAGATGAGACAGCATTACTTCGAGCCCACTATAAAATGCGCAAGTCAACACTACGTCTGGCGCCCAAATTGCCCTTCTCGGCTGGGACTACTGGTATCGTGACCGCCACCGATTCTGAACAGTTACCTGTATTTCTTGTCTCGCTGCGTATGCTGCGCAGGACTGGATGTAGTCTCCCCATGGAGGTCTTCGTCGATGATTGGACCGTCCGAGACCGAACGACCTGCGACATCATTCTGCCTTCTTTGAATGCACGTTGCATCAGCCTGTCCGAGGGCTACACTCAAAGTCTAAATATTACAAGTCAATACCGCAGCCAAGATAATATACTAGCTATCATGTTGTCTACCTTCCAAGATGTCCTATACCTCGACGCGGATGCGTTTCCCGTCTACGACCCAACTGTACTCTTTACTACACCGCCCTACACCACCCACGGCCTCGTGACCTGGCCAAGCTTCTTCGGAATCACAACTTCTCCGCACTACTACCATATCGCTGGAGTACCTGTGGAACCCGTATCGACCCGCTACTCCACCGACTCCAGCCAAATAATGCTGAACAAAAACATGCACCAAGAATCGCTCCTCATGATGGTATACTACAACTACTACGGCCCTGACTACTACTACCCCCTAAGCTCCAGGCACCAAGAAACATTCATCCAAGCCGCACTAGCTACCGGCCTGCCATGGTATCAAGTCCGCACCGCACCAAGAGCACTAGGCCGATTGTGGAACGGGACATTTCGCGCCACAGGGCTTGCACAGGCAGACTGCGGTACGGATTTCGAATACGGCGCCCCTTACCCTTCACACATCCACGAGTCCGCGAAATGGGAGAAAGAAGATCGCGCGCACCCAGATCTTGTCGTGGAGAAGAAGCTCAATTACACGAGACATACCCCTCCGTCTCCTAAGCCTGTCTTTGTACACCAGAATATGCTGCAGATGGATCCGAGTAAGCTGCTCTTGGATACAAACGAAATCACATACGAGGCGCATGATGGGACTATGCATCGCATGTGGGGGTTCAAAGAAGACATGGAGAGGACGCTAGGATTTGATGTAGAACGAAGACTGTGGGATGTTGTGGAGGAAGAGGCATGTAGGGAGCTGGAGTCTACGGAGAAGTGTAAGAGAGTCAGGGACTATGTGAGAGAGGTATTTGGGTGGATGGAGAGTATCGATAGACCTTGGTGAAGTAGGTCCAAGACGACCCAGTCTGGTTTTGACATTAGCGGCGCATTTTGGGAGGTGTATTGGAGTAGTTGTCATTAGGTCATTACGGCTGTAGACCAAGTATATGTATACAAATGCTCTACAGCTCAGGCTCCACGTGCATTCGTAGTAAATTTTCTTTGAAATTCACGTGCTACTGAAGAACGGACAGTAGGCTGTCCACAGTCATAAGCTGCTCGCGCTTTAACTTCCTCAGACAATGATTTTCGTGTCTTTGACTGGAGTCTCGTTACAACACAAGGCACTCGTAGCTGGCGAAGCTTTCATGTGAAATGTCATTCAAATAAAGCCATCGATACTGGCCCCTATGGGATATCATTCGAAGAAAAATGATTCAACGCCGATAGAAAGAAAACACTCAATCCAATCCCTCATTTACATCTCACTCTCACTAGCCAACAAACTCTCAACGATATCGTCTTCCGTGACTGTGTGACGATTCCTCTTTGCTGCCGGGAGCTCTGTGTCATCACTCTCGTCGTCATACTCTTCGAGTGGCATGCGCGTGCCTTCGCCTTGCATGCCTGCCAGCATCGTATCTCCGTCATCTTCCTCGTCACCAATTTCTGAGCCGTCGACATCTTGCGTTCCAGGTAATTCCGTAGCATCTGCTTGCGATTGCTCTTCGAGATTGGCTTCCGTCTGGTCGGGGGAAGGCGCAGCTGATTCGTTGAGCTCTTCCTGATGGGGGACTTGTGTGACATGTTCGACTTCGCCAAGACGCTTGGTCAGGCTGAGTTCGAGTTTCGAGAGGTAGTTGCGTTGAGTTGCATCTATGCCAATTTTGCCTTCGACAGCCTCTGATACAAGGGCATGAAGAGTGCCCAGACTCTCTCCGCTGGTTGCCTCCTCACCCTTTCTTGTCGATGATGACGGCGCAATGAAAAGCTTACTGAGAAGAGAGAGTAAAGGCTTGCGTTCGTCCCTGCTGCATGTGCTCGTGAGGGCGCGCTCAAGAACTTCAATCGATAGATGAATGTGTGGCTCCTCTGCCTCCGCGGAAGTGCTCGTCTTTCCATCGAGACCAAGTTCGGTCGCACCAACGACCTTTCTACCATCTGTCCATTCAGACAGATGAGCCGTGATGACCGGCCAGGATACCATATCGTCAGCCTCTTCATCTAAAGTCTCCTCGCGCATAAGAAGAAGCTTTGAAATGACGGGCACGGCGATTTGGGCCATGAGTTGTGCATTCTTGAGCTTCGAGTGGCAGAATACAGGGAGGAAGTAGCTCAAGGCTTGCCTTAATGCTGGATTTGCTGCCGTCTCAGGGTCAAAATACGTTAGCGTAAAGGCTTTGAGTATCTCGGCTGTTGGTGCTGGTGGTAAGATGCCCAGCAAAAGCAGCTTAGAAGCAGCTGTGCATGCAATTAGATTCAACCGCTTGTTGTCTGAGCTATTGAAAGCCTTCAATAAGACTTTGGTGATTGGCCTGATGAGAACGTTTGGCTTCGGCTCAGACTCAGCGTCTTCTGCAGTAGCATCTGGGTCCGCTGCTGGAGGAGCAAGAAGCTGGGGATGCGTGATGATGGTGTCTGTCAGGATCTGGATAACGATCTCCTTGAGAGCGTCGTGACCTTTTGTGAAGCAGTGAAAGAAGAGATCCAAGTTGCTTGTAGCGAGATCCTGCGCATGATTAGCTTGCGAGCCAACTGAAAATCAACTCATGACATACCTTGCTGAGCAGTGTAGCCAGTCCGAGACATATTACACCGCGCTCGCGAATCATGGCCTCGCGTGCTTGAACAGCTGGGATGATGAGCGTGTTCAGTATATTCGTCAACGAATTGTCAGACTCCAGGTCACAATGCACATTCTGTAGTGTACACTGGGCGATGTGCAGGCACTTTGAGTATACCATGACCTCACGAACTCGCTGTGCTTCCTCTTCCTCCGGGGTCAGCTCCTCTGTGTTCTTCTTTGACCCAATGAGCATTGGAGCATCAACATCAGATCGCGCCGAGTGGAAGCTCTCCTCGTCATTCTCACCTTTCTCGGTGGCATCATCGTCAGCATCTAGAAGACTATCTCGGACCTCAGCAATGGCCTCCAAGATCAGTGCACAGAAGTCGGACTCGCCACGGCTTCCGCAGACTGTTCTCAGGACTTCGATGGCAAGTTTCGTGCACTCCTCTGGCAAATGGGCCTTGGCGATGGACTCTCTCATGATGTTATACATCTGCCTCCGGCCCATTTCGTCCGTATAGTCGAGAGTCATGGCGATGTGTAGCAATTGCTGGACGATGAAGTCTTGTTCTTCAGCGTCCTCTTGTACCTCTTCCGCTTCCGGGTCATCCTCGTCCATGACAGCGCCCTTTTGCACTAGCTCCATGAGAGAATTCAGCTCTTTCTGCAGGACAAATGCGAACATGGTGACTTCGGGCATCTTGTCCTCGATCATGTCTTGAGCTCTGGCGTCATCGGCGCTGTGGCAATAGTCGTTGAAGGTACGGGCAATAAAAGCAGTCTGAGCATCCAGGTTCTTCCAAAAGTCATGGTCAAATGTAGTCGCCTCGCGATAGTCCGGACGTCCTGCCCAGAACTCACGCATGGCTTCGTGGGCCATACCATCTTCTTCGCCAGATCGCGTAACGTCGATACGTTCTAGTAATTCGCACAAAGCTTCCATGTTTGGTGGGGCAGCATCGCCTGCCTTCTTCTCCTCTTCAGGACGATCATCGCGCGATGACGCGCAGTGCTCAAGCCACTGTTCTCGGAAGAGACGCGCAGCGGCTTTGCGAACTGAATCGTCTCGGTCTCGAAGGCCCCATCTGATCATCTTCTCGCGCTGAACGAGAGACATGTGTCTGAAGTCACCGAGGGCAGGCAGGATCTTGCCATAGACCAGTCGTCTAGTCGTTGCATCCATGTCTCGGGCTCGCTCGAGGATATAGCTGAGGGTTGTTGGCCACATGGGCAAGTTGAGAAGTACAGCGCGTCGCACTTCAGCGCTCGGATCGTTGATCATGATGTCCAGTAGCTTCTCCATGATGCCACCAGCCACGTCGTCGTCGTCGTCGCTGTCCTCATCATCATCTTCCTCGTCTTCGCCCACAAAGCGACCGAGGCACAAGACTGCCTGTACGCGTACTGAGGGCTCCTTGTCCCGCAATCGCTTTAGCACGCCTAGCCGGATGAGGTTGAAGGTGTCGTCGTCGATGGCTGTGAGGTTGTTGACAACGTGTGCAACCAGCTGTGTGGCGCGGAAGCGGACCGTCTTGTCTTTGGAGTTGAGGAAGCCGAGGATGGACAGGAGTAGCTTGGATGTCAGACGGCTGCTGGGTGTCTCGTGGAGAACGCCCTCTTCTTCTTCGGCCTCGGTTGATGCGAAAATGGCATGGTCTTTCTCGGCAGCAAACTTCAGGAACAGGCCCAGAAACCGGATCAGCCTGTCTCCCACGGGCTCGCTCTTCTTGATGCCGAGTATTCTGATGACGCACCGGCCGACTTCGGTGTTGAAGTCCTCCTCGTCAAAGTCGTCGTCGACTTCGCCCGGGGCCTTCTTGCCGCCCTTGGCTGTGGTCGGCGGCTCGTAGCAGCACGCTTCCTGGATCTTCCGTAGATTGACGACCAGTTTTCGCTGTGTGGCCGTCGTCTTCTGGGCGTCTCCAAAGACTTGGGCGATTTGTGTGCGCAGCGGCGTGATGGGGCCTTCATCTGGGATTTCGACGGCATTTGCGGACTGGCGTGCGGAGGAGGCTCGTTTGGTGGTCGAGGCGGTCGATGTGCGCGTCGAGCGCGTCGATGTTCGCCCGGGCATGTCTGCTGTGTGTCCAGAGTGTCGAGTGTCGAGTGTCCGAGTGGTCTGATGTGGCAATTGATGTTGGTCGCGCCTGCCCCTCGCTGTTTACACCACACACATGCTTCCGCATTTGGCAACGCCCGCGGAGCCCGCACGTGAAGCAGGGTGCAGGGGTCCCCCACGCCCCGGGGCCATGGCGACATCGGGGCCCGAGCGCCATTCCGTGTAGCATCGTCAGTTTTGTCGCCCTGTCGCCCTGTCGCCTTGTCGCCGCCAAGCTCGAATTCCCTCTGCTGCGCGACATGTTCAGGACAGCGGCGCGTGGCTTTGCCGCTTCAGCATGGCGGAGCGCTGAAAGCATCGGCCAGATACAGTCAGATGCGGTGCACCAAACTGCTGTGAACATCTCCAAAGCCCAAGGCATTGGACAGCGGGGCTTCATCGATGGTAAGCTATGATGCCTGTTACCACCAGCGAGCCATGTGCTGACTCGACACAGCCATTGGCAAGACCCCGCTCATCCGCCTCAAGAGGCTCTCTGAAGAAACCGGCTGCAACGTCCTCGGCAAGGCTGAATTTCAGAACCCCGGTGGCTCCGTCAAGGATCGCGCCGCTCTCTTCGTCGTCGAGAATGCCGAACGCCTGGGCCTTATCAAGCCCGGCGGTACCGTCATCGAAGGCACAGCTGGCAACACTGGTATCGGTCTGGCGCATGTCTGCCGGTCAAAGGGCTACAAATTGGTCATCTACATGCCAAATACACAGTCGCAGGGCAAAATTGATTTGCTACGCCTCTTGGGGGCCGAGGTGTACCCAGTGCCCGCCGTGGCATTCGACAATCCAGAAAACTACAATCACCAGGCTAAACGACACGCGGACCGCTTAGACAACGCCGTATGGACGAACCAGTTCGACAACGTGGCGAACCGACAGGCACATATCGAGACTACTGGACCCGAGATCTGGTATCAGACCGCCGGCAAGATTGACGCCTTCACTTGCGCCACAGGCACCGGTGGTTCGTTGGCCGGTGTCACACGATATCTCAAGGAGAAGAGTGACGGAAGAGTGAAGAGCTTCTTGGCAGATCCTCCAGGCTCAGTGCTACATTCATACATACAGAGCGGCGGCAAGCTTGCGGAGAGGCAAGGAGGCTCGATAACAGAAGGAATCGGCCAGGGCCGAGTGACAGACAATCTGAAGCCCGACATCGACCTGCTAGATGGCTCAGTCCACATTAGCGATGAGAAGACCATTGAGATGGTATACAGATGCTTAGACGAGGAGGGTTTGTATCTTGGTGCTAGCTCATGCTTGAACGTCGTTGCGGCAAAGGAGGTGGCAGAGAAGATGGGCAAGGGCAGCACAGTCGTCACGCTACTTTGCGATGGCGCATACCGCTACGCTGACCGTCTATTCTCCAAGAAATGGTTAGAGTCGAAGAAGCTGTATGGCGCGATACCCGAACATTTGCGAAAGTACATAGTCCTCGAGTAGACACAAAATCTGAATTGTAGTCGACCAACATTCCTCTACACTATTTGCATTTATCTATTTCTACAACCATGCTGAATCGACATAACAGCATCTAAATCATCGGCGTCCCAGATGCAAATCCGTTAACGACAGCCGTCATCAGCTGATTTGCAATCGCTGTCTTGGGTGGCAATCTCAATCCGCCCTCCTTGTACCCCTCGGGCGCATCCTCTCCCAATCCACTCGTGCCAACCTTGAGTGCCTCTCGGACTTCCTCTGCAGTGAACCACTTCGCATCCTCCAATTCGGCATCATGTCCGAGGTTAATCTCCTCGCCCTCTGGAATTGCTTGTCCAATAGCTCCAATCATAAGATTCGCAGGGTACGGCCACGGCTGTGTCGAATGGATGACTACTCGGCCGAGATGAATCCCAGACTCTTCCCACACTTCGCGCCTCACAGCTTCCTCCACGCTCTCGGCAGGTTCGAGAAATCCGGCAAGGGTGCTGTACCAGTATGGAGGCCAACGCTTTTGGCGCCCAAGGAGGATCTTCTTGCCATCGGCAGATACTACGGCCATGATGACTGTCGGGTCGGTGCGTGGAAAGCATAGGTTGGATATGCCTGTGCGAGTTGCACATGGTGGCCGCTCACCAGCGTTTGTGACTTCGGGGGCGATGTCCTTGGGTGGACACGTGCGTTTGAAACCGGCATTGATGGAGAGAGTTTTGTAGCCGCAAGAGGCACAAAACGGGTTGCGGGCGTTCCAGTCGAGGAGGTGGCGAGCCTCGGCGTATATGGCAGCTAGACAAAATCAGTATGCACTCATTGCCAGTCGTTTTAATGTAGCATTGGCGTACCTTGCTCAGCAGGTAGACTCATATTCATCCTACCAGCATTGAAAGTCAAGCCTTCCGCCTTCAAATTCTCGACCAGTTTCTCTGCTGCCTCTTTGATACTTTCCTTTGGCGTAACGTCGACTGCGAACCATGGCTGGCCTTTGTATCTTCCCTTGTACTCAAAACCTGCTTCTCTCTCGTCGAGCCCGAGGAATATTATCTGCGGTAGGTACAGCGACGAATTGTATTGCGCAATCGTGTCCTCCTCACTTCGATGAAACGGGTCATCGCCAATGATGGCCTTCACGTCGGCATACTTGCGATGGGCTAGCTTGTCCTTTGCGTGAACGAGGGGGTCAAGGTTGTTGAAGAGCAGGAAGGTTGTGGACGGGTGCTTGAGCGCTTGCGACAGAAAGGTGTGGTCGGGGCGCAGGAAAGACACGCGGTTGAGGGGAGAGCCTTTGCAGTGTTAATCTGGCAATAAGCTCATAGGTGTGTAAAGGATACCAGAGAAGTAATTGGCAACCTCCTTCCCAAACTTGCGGCTCAGCATCGAATCGATAGTAGGATGGGCTGGCTCAGGAAGCTCGGGCTGTGGCAGTGACATTGTCTTTCGAATCAAATGCAAATCCTGCGTCTTTGCACAATTCACGGGTACAGCGGAAACGAAGAGGTTCGGATTTAAGAATAATTCGAAGCAATAAGCATCACAGAAGCCCCGCCGAGGGGTGCAATGCACTAAAAAGGCACGCGATTATTAACCATGGCGACTTGCCAGCGTCATTCCGAAAGACCCTCGGTTCCTTTTCCGGGTCCCATGTCAAGCGCATGCAACCTTATCGATACCGGTAGAGGTTATTTGGACTTCGGCGAACACCTGGCGCGTCGACATTCGCCAATGGCAGGAAGCTCACCGCCATGAGTAAATTTCAAGTACGTGCATAGTCTCTGTGTGCATTTGTATGCTGGGCCCAAGAGTGTTGGCAGCTCCCAAGACGTCAGCTAACGGCGCAGTTCGGAGACTCGCGCTCAAATTCCGACGACGACGAGGACCTCGATACTCTGCCCTACCCTGCGCCCCTTCAGCGCAATGACTTCCTCGCGCCAGACTTTTCGCCATCGACCTATCTCTCTACACTATCGAATCGGCACCAGACACTCGAAGACTTGCGCTCAGAGCTAAGGTCGCGCTCACAGCTACTAAGCAAAGAGCTGCTGGACCTCGTCAACTCCAATTACCAGGACTTTCTGAATCTGGGAAACAGCTTGCATGGTGGTGAAGAGAAAGTCGAGGAAGTAAGGGTAGGGTTACTGGGGTTCAGAAAAGAAGTTGATGGACTGAAGCGGGCAGTTGATGAGAGGGAACAAGAGGTGGGAGCCCTGCTGGGGGAAAGAAGAGACGTGAGGGTAAAGATTGAACTGGGGCGGCGGCTCATTGATTATGATGCGAGACTGCGGGAGCTCGAGCAAGATCTGGACATCAGCAGTGGGGCAAATCACGTCAACAACAACAGAGAAGACGATGTCTCAGACAGCGAGGACGACGAAGACGAAGACGAAGACGAAGACGATGAGGACGATGCAAGCTATGGCGTTTCCCTTACGAAACTGCGAAGGAACGTCATGCAGTACAGACTAATGCAAGAGCTGGAGAAGAGCCTCGACAACCATCCTTTCGTTGAAGCACAGACGACGCGGATGGCGAAAGTGCGCAGCACGTTGTTGCTCGATCTGAGTACTGCAACGCAGCAAGCGAAGAATGCAGGAAAGGCTGGGCAGGGCAGGGTAATGAGCATTATGAAGATGTACGCAAACATGGAACAGGCTGCAGAAGCAGTAGAAGTCCTCAAGTCACTGAAAGCAACATGATATGGATATGACATCAGCATAGCGAGGGCGTTTAATATAGTACATTTATTGTACACCCATGAGCGAGCAATTTCATAACGGGCCAGAGAGCTCCTTTGTCGCTATTGAGTTTGCGCCTCTAAAGTCGCCATTGAGCGTAAAGCCCGGCGCATTCGTCGAGCTCAATACCTATTGTAACGTTAGCTATGTAGCCGAGCATATCGGGTGTCTTTGGCTTACCACTTCATGAATCTCCTTTGTTATTTTCAGGCTCAGCTGCGCGATGTCCTTCTTCACTGCGTCCATGAACGCCTTGACATTCCTCTGCATCTCCTCGGGCGTGAACCCCAGTTGTCCCACGGCCATCCTGACCACGCCCATTCTTTCTCTGTACTCGCTTGCCCCCACCATGTTCCTCACACTAGCGCCCACATTTGTGACAACGGTGCCCGTCTTCGCGCTCGGCATCAGTCCCTTGGGACCCAGTTGCCGGCCCAATGCAGCTTTGTTGAGCTTCTGCAGGCTGTCAATATGGCACAAGCATCGGTCGAACTCGATGATGCCCTCCTTGATCTGCGCGAAAATGTCGTCTTCGCCAACAAGCACCGCCCCTTCGGCTCGTGCCTCGGCCGCGGCTTTGGAGTCTGGGGCCGCGATGACGCAGATGCGTATGTCCGTTTTGACGGGATGCGGCAGTCGCAAGCGGTTTCGAACAGTGGGCCCGTTTTTAAGAGAGCGTAGGCGCACGTGGAGCTCGTACTTGGAGGACGACGGGTTGCGGCCGACTTCGAAGGCGCGGATGTATCTGCTCAGCGTCAGTCGCTCGGCCTTCTAGGACAGCCACGTGTGACGCACTGCATCGCATCCACCAGCGGGAACTGCTCCGTTTTCTTGAGGTCATATTGGACGAAGGTATTCCGGCCTTTCTTGTTCTTCTTTTTGGGGGCTTTCGTTGTTGCGCATCGTATCGATGGACACGGCAGCGCGGAGACGCGGGCGACGACTGGTCTTGATGCGCCAACCGAGAATGTTGCCAATCGGCTCAGAGGAGAAACCAAGGAACGTGGGTTTGCCATCATGTCTCTATGCCACCATGGCGTGGCCGCGCCGACATCAAAAGTTCGTCGGAGCTCGGAGGAGCCAAGACTTGCTAGCCACTCACGTGCCACTTCTGCGACTGCACCACCTACAACTACGAATCCTTTGCTCACAAAAGCTTGCCCGCCGCCTTTCCGCTACCATCTTTCCACAAACCGCCACCATTTCTCTTTCTACCAGTACGCACGCACAACGTCGCGTCGAGGAAACCAAGACTAGACAAGCAGTGTTGACCGAAATACAGCGCAGACAATCATGGCAAATGCTGCAGGAGCCATGGTAACACGAATGACAATGTCTCAAGGAGCTTTCGTATACCCAAAGGATGCCAGAGCCAGAATTACACTTTCTTTCCCATCTCGACAAATGAGTGGCGGTGGCCCCAGATCTACCCCACGCAACATCCAAGCCATCAACTGGGACAATTTCGACCGTGGTGCCTGGCCAGACAATACCGAAGACATGCCTACTTACGAGGCTCTAATGCCTACAAAGAGGCGGAAGGAGGCCTCATTGCACAAGGCACAACAGGACTTAGCTCGGAACCCAGGTCATCAACTTGGCACTTTTTGGGTGACTTATCATCGTATACAACTCGATGCGCATCGCGATGATGAGAAATTACATGCAATCGTGGCAGAAACTGATGCGCTAGCCTGCGTCCTGAGTACCGCCCCATTAGCCATGCGCCAAAGATTTGCAAAATACATAGCCGCTTCCAAGCACTTCCACGGCTTTATCCTGGCCAGGGGGAAAACATTGCGCCAGTGCCGCTTGACCCTGGGACTATTCAAACATTTGCCCTTTTATGCTGAAACTCATGCTAGAGCTCAGCGTGACTCACGATACGTCGCTCCTCAGAAAAATTCTGCGAAGGGAATTGCACAAGAGGCAGAGCCTTCTGTCAAACATGCAGATCGTCATAACGCGTACCCCGAGCTGTGGGCTATCGAGCCCTTATCGTCTACCATCAAAATCATCATTACTGACATAAAAAGACAACTCCTTTGGTGTGGCTGGCTGAAGAAATACAACGGACACATGACCTCTGAAAAGAAGTTGGACGAGTTGAACAGCCACGCAAGATCTGTTTTGCACGTCTATAGAGGCCTGTTGCAACTGCAACGCGAGCTCAAGGTCCTGCAGTATTACAGCATGCAGCAATATCCGGGACGCATGCTGGGTCGGCGGGTCGATATGGGGAAGAACATGTGGAATGATTTGGCGGCCGAAACGAAACGAAGACAATCTTTGGGGCCTGGTCCCAACTAAGTCCGCAGCCATTTTGCGCACTCGGCCTCAAAGCACCACCCGCAAAAGCCATGGAACTGAGTCGAACCTTTCAAGAACATACGAGCAACACACCTCCAAGTTACCGCTCATATTGTTGAACAATTATAGAGACAAGAACATGTTGAGTGTGATGAAAGACATAAGATTGTTTACATAGGTGAGATCGTCCATTTACCCCTAGGTCGTAGCAAAACCCCGATCACGTGATACGGGTTACACAATCGAACGCATATCCAGGACGTTTTAGATAGCATTGAGTTGGCTAATACGTGCTTCTGCCAATCGTAGAAGTGATTGCTTCGCTAGAATAATAATCTTCAGTTTGTGGTAAACAATGAAAACTAATTTAACAAAACTTTTCTGGCGCAGTTGCAGCCATGATAAATCGAAAGGATCTTTCTATATGACTTTACTATGTCCAAACGTTTAGCGAGTTGAAGGCCACCTCACGCGAGGCGGCTGTGCTGTCGCTGTCCGTGCACAACTAGTCCCGAATCGAGTTTTGGTGTGATCTTTCAGACAGGATTTTTTCATCATCACTACTTGGGTAGGTATAGAGGACGTCAACACAATTCTGGCTCGACTTCTTACTATACTGCTTCGATGCGCGCCAGTACATTTCCGCGTGGCAAACGCTTCAAGAAATTACTCTCACCAGTAGTCAACGAACAACAGACTCACCTAGATGGCTCGCGCATCGCCGTGCTTCCAGTATTGCCATACTTCACAAATCGTCACGGCTTGTTCGCATGGTCGCATTGGGACGGAAAATTGTGGAAAAACGCTGGGCTCTCGTACTACCACAGATCCCAACTTGTCTTCAAGGCCAAGCGCACGGAAAGATCATTGCGTCTCACCCAATTTGAGTCAAAGAGTCAACCTGCAGTGGTAAACCGGTTTTGGATTGAACACTATCGTGGGGCTCATGCCGCCAACCTGAGTATTGTCCCTTTCAATCTGCTTCACGTGGGGTCGCAGGCCATAAAATATATATTGCGTACCTCCCCACTAAACATCTATAAGCGCGTTTCTGAACCAGTGCACGCGCTCGATCTTAACACCTTTGAGCTCCTTGAACTCATCAAAGACCTGGATAAGATACGAAGTGTTGCGGTGCACCGAAGACAAAACCCTACCTATTTCAAGGCGGCCGTGGAAAGGTATCAACGCGTTGCAGCTGGACACAAGGTTGCAATTGGAGACCGGTTTCATGACAAGAGTGCTCGAGTGCATCATAAACTCGCATTTGGGCAAAAGTGGAAGTCACACACTCCCAGTGTTCGAAAAGTACATCATGGCCAGAAACCGGACGATTGGCACAGGCAGCTCGTGTCTGTTTGTAGTGCCTGCCCGCCACGTTGGACGATAGAGCCCATGCAAACCATAATGACTTTAATACTTCGTCAACTGAGTCAATCATATCGCAACGTATACAATGGCCTAAACGCGGGCTGTGGTCGAAAAATACCCACTGCAGCGTTCCACCAGCTGCGGATGTTGATCGATAGTATTCGAGATTGCTCCATGGAGCTGTATGAGCTTCTAGATGAGATGGCAGCCCTACGTTATCACCGATTGCAATTGTTCCCAGATAGTTTTTCGTTGGCCGAAGTACAGCTTGGAGAGCAGTTGTGGTTGCGCTCGGGCACATTGGTAGCAAATGAAGCCAATGGAGACTGGAACGACGAAATCAAAGCACTCGAGCCAAAGTCGTGACTAGGCCTCCCGCTAGCCAATGTCCAGACAGATCAAAAAAGAAAATTCTCAACTTAGCTGTGCACGTAGAATCGACTAGACGGATATGCATCGTTATAACTTGTCAGAAGAAGCCCAGCGATAACGTAATACAGATACTTGGTTATGACAATGCCTCTTCGTCTTCGCATCCAAATCATCCCTCCCCCATCACGAATCTATTTGTTGAGTTATTGCAGAGCAACTAAATTATAACGCCAAAGCGCTTTCATACTATGTTCGCGTGATCAGTTGTTGGCAAAGCACATACAATGATCTTGAGTCTATTTTACATTGATTGATAAGAAAAGGGTTTCGATCTTGCAACAAGCGAGTGTATGAGCGGAAGTCCCTTTAACCTCAGGGACAACATCGACTGTCATGACTGACCTCAGTTTATATTGTCAATCTTTTCGGATCTACACACCACCACCCCAGCGAGGAGCATTAAGCACAATACCCATCAAGCACCCAGAAATGATACCGGCAGAAGGTAAGGTGATAAACCAGCCAAAGTAGATCCAAGCAACCATGCGCCAGTTAATCGTCCTCCAGGTGCCATTGCAGAGACCTACACCAACTGTAGCTCCAGTAATGCACTGTGTAGTCGAGACGGGTAGCGCGAGTTTAGTGGCCATGATGATTGTAATCGCAGCACCGAGCTCCATGGAGAAACCACGCGCGGGCGAGTGCAGAGTGATCTTGTTACCAAGCGCGCGCATGATGTTGTATCCATATGTCCAAAGACCGACAACAATGCCAGCACCACCGAAAGCGAGGATCCAAAGAGGAACAGGTACCTTGGTACTGATCTTCGCTGTGGACCAGATGAAGTAAATGGTAGTATAAGGGCCGATAGCGTTTGAAACGTCGTTAGCACCATGGGCAAATGACGTGGTTGAGGCAGTGAGGACCTGGAGGAAAGAGTAGGTGTATTCGGCACGGTTGTCATAGTGCTCGCCAGTGGCGTGAACCTTTTCAATGTCGCCGGAGAGAAAGTCGCGGTGCTTTTGCTGGTCGACAACATCCTGCTCGACACCGTGGAGAGCGGCGTACTTGATCCAGTACCAGGCGACAGCTGGGGTGTACCAGGGGCCTGGGGGAGGGCACTTCTTCGGCTTGGAGAGCTGACGATCGGCTTTGGCAACGTGTGCTGGGGAGACAGATGGAAGCGGAGTGATGTCAGAGTCACTGCCGTCACCCTTGACATTAACGGAACTACTAGCAGCGCCTTTCTCGACGTCGTCGGAAACTGCGCTTGCTTCAGCGGCACGCTTGGCCTCAAGTTCTTCAGCGGTCAAGTGGCCCGCGTAGAAGTCGCGAATACCGGGAACACCCTCGGGTCTGGGAGTTGGCTGTGGGCGACGTAGCAGAAGAGGACCCTTGATCACTTCCCAGCTCTTGAGCTCCCAGTCTTCCACGATGATTTTGCGGTGGAGGAATGGAATAAAGAATGTAGCAACTATGATGGCGACACCAGCTCCAACACCGAAGGCGACACCGACAGACTGCTCGTCAGAAAGCTTGATCTTCGCCGAGCCACCTTTCCAGACAATAAGGAGGGCCAACAAGAACGAAGTAAGGAAGACTGTTGTCGCTTGTCAGCATACGTGTTGAAGATCGAAGACCTGAGGAGAACTGACAGTACAGTGGAACCATGATAAAGGCCTTCTTCACTGGGTTGTTGCGACGCATAACACCATGCTTCGTGATCAAGAAAATGATAGCACCAAAACAAGCCGAGATACCAGGAGCAATACCCCAGGCAGCGAAAACCTGCGAAACACCCTTGAAGGACCAGTTGACACCCTGTGTACCGGCCGAAGCAATACCAACACCAATCACGCCACCCATGATGGAGTGCGTGGTCGAAACAGGCATAGTGAAGCGAGTGGCGATTGTAAGGTAGGTAGCGGAACCGACGATGGCACAGGTCATGGCGAGCATGAGAACGGAAGGATCAGACTCGAACAACGAGGTCGAGATGACCTTGGTTCGGATGGTGTCTGTGACGCGCGAACCGACAAGCATTGCACCCGCGAATTCCATTACAGAGGCGATGCACATGGCTTGCTTGAGAGTGAGCGAGCGGGAAGCGACCGAGGTCGCGAAGGAGTTGGCAACATCGTTGGCACCTGGTTTAGTCAGAGGATGTTGGACATACGGACCACTGTACGTTGAGTGGAAGTATGATTGTAGAATTATGGGTAGCCGAATGTGACGAAGTGACTGGGAGGGACAGCAGCTTACCGATGTTCCAGGCGTCGAGGAAAGCAAATAGTGTGGCTATAGCAAAGATGTAATCGAACTGCGGGAGAGCTGCCATCTTGATGGATCGTGTCTTGAAAACGTCCCGATGGATTTTCTGCGTTGCCCGAGTGCTGGTTGACCTCTATCTGGCGAGGGCTGATCGGACGCACTCTATATACCAAATACTCTTGCTAACACCATCTTACCGCCTTGGGAGATAAAATCTCTCAACCGCTACATTATGCCCGGGACATCCAATCACGATTACTGTTCCACTCATGTGTGCTCTGATGCTCCGAACCAGGCCTACGGAACGCCCGAGCAAATGTGCATGCTCCACCTGAGAAACAACTCGTCCCCTTGGCCGCTTGGAAGTAGTGGCAAACACCAGATCAAGACAGTCGTTGGTGTGGTAGGAATCGGTGGTGACTCTAGTGGGTTCCTCCGCCGTGTCTGATGGAGGATTCGCTTGGCGATTCCGCCCTCGGCGTGCTCGGCAGAGCTTCCTTGCAACTTGTGGGCGTCGCTTTCGGGAACCAATGACAGTTGCGCATCTGAACACGCAGCGTTCGTGATGGTCCTGAGTGGTGTCGCATTTCCTCAATTCCAGAGCGGGAAGTCGAACTCCAAGGACGACAAGAAGCTGCGCCAGACATCACAGTGCCGTATTCCGGCTTTGCTCTCCCATTCAATAATCGCCGTATCGATGCTGCGCCGCAGTTGTTGCCTTTCATGCTGATATCCTGCTGACATTTTCGCAGGACTTTTGTGTAAGCGATACTTGCTGAAGTTGACGGGGGCGTGTCGATACCCATCTGTTTTGGGGATCTGGTTTTCTCATCATCCAGAACGGGAAGATCGAATACCATCTCTCGAATGCGCGGGGTTCCACCGACATCATGTTCGAGACTACAAAGATCAGCAATTGAGCCTGAAGTTTGGGAGCGCTATGTCGCATGGAATGCTGTCTACGCAACGATTGCTGATGACTTCTAAAGGTCCGCAGCTGCTCTGCCTGCTACTGATGGAATCGACAGGGTGCATAACGCGTTGACTTCTGCGACCATGGCCTCTCAGGTGTTTGACTGGTGCTTTAAAAAGGCCAATACACTGATTGCGCGAGAGCAAACAGATCTGTGCACTCAGTGTCCCAGAGTAGTCTTGATTCCACTCGACGACGGAGATGATGCGACCAGAGTGCGCGACAACAGCATCCAAGAAAACAAAACTAAAGCAGGAACAGTCAGTAAGGATCAAAAGAGATCCCACGTGTGGATCAAGAAGATCCACATGCTCAAGAATATGGCACCCTTCTTGCATCTGCCAATTTCCAAGCAGACTTGTTACTTCAGACGCGCTTGGTAGAGACATTATGTTGCCAAGGTTTGAGACTTTGCAGGAGAAGGAGTTAGCTCCCGATAGACTTCCGGAATGAATAGGTTCTTTAGTGTGCCTTGGATCACTCCGCCCATGGGTATGGGTCGATATCTGGGGCTTCAACGCGTGTGTCGTCAGTCGCAGCATATGGTATGCCGAATCCAGCCAGAACGATGATGATACACGAGGCGGTTTGGCAAGGCCTGCCAGGATACAGATAGTTAGTGATGATTCACGTCAAGACTACACCTTCTCGACTCTGGTGAATTTTGAGGCTGAGCATAACAAATAACTCATTGTCACTTTCAGGTGCGCAGTTCGACGCCGGAAGTCGGCTAGGGGATTTCGAGAACATCGCGTGGTACATGATAGCGCCCAAATCGGAGACGAGTGGATTTGAGGTCGGCTGGACTGAATGGGTGATGCTGTAAAAGATGAAAGCGATGGGATGACAGGCCAGGCTCAATTGTGCCAGAAACTCACACGTGTAAGCGCTCACATGGGCCCTACCGCTGTCGACTGCGAGCCTCAGAAGCCAGTCTGGTGTCGAAAATGCCTGCACATCGATGCTGAAGGCGAAGCGAAGAACGCGGGGCTGGGCTAAACCCAAAGTGGATTTAATGACGGCACGGGCCATGTCGCGGTCGGTCGCGACTTTTGATTGATTCTACGCGTCGCTGCTCCCCTAATTGCCCGCAGCCCACCTCGCAAATCGGCCCCTCACCAACAAACACAACATCACGATACACGATGGCCGACAGACAGTCAGCATACTCGGTCAGTCTCTTCGGCAGCCAGGCAGCCGATGGAGTGCAAGATGCGACGGCTCCTTCGCGCATCCAGCAAGCACTGGTTGACTTCATCATGGAGTTCACCCTCGATAATGTCTTCGTTTACCGGTATGCGCATTCACCACACACTAGGCGCCGTGCATGGTCTGATGATATGATAGAGATCAAATCCGAGAGAATGTGCTGGTCAAGCAGTACTATTGCGACATTGACATAGCCCACCTCATTGTTTACAACGACGAGCTTGCGCAAAACCTCACATCCAATCCAGCCGAAGTGATACCGCTCGTAAGTTGGTGGCAAGAGCATCATGGCCAAGTGCACTGGCTGACGTGAATAGTTTGAAGCGGCGCTCAAGAGCTGCACGCAGCGCATTGTTTACCCCTCGCAAAAGAATATCAAACTGCCTGAGCACCAGTTACTCCTTCACTCGACTGCATCCGAGCTTTCGATACGTGACCTCACAGCCAACCAAGTCTCGCATCTCGTCCGAATACCTGGCATCATCATTGGCGCCTCAACACTATCTTCCAAGTCCACTGCGCTTGCCATACGGTGCCGCAGTTGCCAGCACGAGGAAATGTTGCCCGTTTCGGGCGGCTTCTCAGGCATCTCTCTTCCGCGTACATGCAGCCGGAAAAGAGGCGAAGGAGAAGCTGGAGATAAGTGTCCCCTCGATCCATACTATGTCATGCACGAGCGTTGTCAGTTCATCGACCAACAAGTCCTGAAGCTGCAGGAGGCACCAGACCAGGTTCCTGTTGGTGAGCTCCCCCGGCACATCATGATTTCAGCAGATCGCTATCTGGCCAACCGGGTAGTACCTGGCACAAGATGCACCATCACTGGTGTGTACTCCATCTACCAGCAAAAGGGCTCAAGGCGGCAAGGAAATGCTGCGGTGGCCATCCGTAACCCGTACATACGCGCAGTTGGTATCCACACCGCTGTCGACCATACGACCAAGGGCAATGCCGTCTTCACTGCTGAGGAAGAACAGGAGTTCCTGGAGATGAGTCGAAGACCGGATATTTACGACGTCTTTGCTAGTTGCATTGCGCCCTCCATCTACGGGAATCAAGATATTAAAAAGGCCATTGCATGTTTACTAATGGGTGGATCCAAGAAGATTCTACCTGATGGGATGAAATTGCGCGGAGATATCAATGTTTTGCTGCTTGGTGATCCCGGTACCGCAAAATCTCAATTGCTCAAGTTCGTCGAAAAGGTATCCCCGATCGCCATCTATACCTCAGGAAAAGGTTCCTCGGCAGCTGGTCTGACCGCCTCTGTGCAACGTGATGCCCAATCGCGAGAATTCTACCTCGAAGGCGGTGCCATGGTTCTGGCTGACGGTGGCGTTGTCTGTATCGACGAGTTTGACAAGATGAGAGACGAGGATCGTGTCGCCATCCACGAAGCCATGGAACAGCAAACCATTTCCATTGCCAAGGCTGGAATAACCACCATTCTGAACTCGCGAACCTCAGTCCTGGCAGCTGCCAATCCAATATTTGGTCGCTACGATGATATGAAAACACCTGGCGAGAACATCGACTTTCAGACTACTATTTTGTCACGTTTCGACATGATCTTTATTGTGCGAGACGATCACAACCGCGATCGAGACGAGTCAATAGCCAAACACGTCATGGGTATTGCCATGGGCGGACATGGTATCCAGCAAGAAGTGGAAGCCGAAATCTCCATTGAGAAGATGAAGCGGTATATCACATACTGTCGAACACGATGCGCGCCCCGGCTTGCGCCAGAAGCCGCTGAGAAGCTGTCCTCGCACTTTGTCAGCATACGGCGGCAAGTCCATGCCTCGGAGATGAATGCCAACCAGAGGTCCAGCATTCCTATCACCGTCCGTCAGTTAGAAGCCATCATTCGTATTACGGAATCACTTGCGAAGCTATCGTTGTCACCTATTGCTGAGGAGCGACACGTAGATGAGGCCATTCGCCTTTTCCTTGCTTCAACCATGGACGCGGTCAATCAAGGTGGTGCCCAAGGCTCTAAAGATTTGATGGAAGAAGTCAACAAGTTGGAAGAAGAGCTGAGGCGCCGCATGGCTGTCGGGTGGCAGGTCGCCCTATCCACACTGAAACGTGAAATGGTTGATGGAAAGGGATACTCCGAACAAGCTCTCAACCGAGCACTGCATGTCATGGCAGCGCGCGACACTATCAAGATGCGCCACGGGGGTTCTGTCGTATTCAGACAAAATGCTTGATGGATGTCTATGACATTGCAGACTTCGCGTTTCGGGCTGTGCATGGTTGCGAGCATTGGACTTAATGATGATGATGATGACGTGCGGCATGTACATGAAGATATGATGAGCTAAGATGTCCTGAATTTGGCATATTGGTACCAGTAGTGGCTACATATATAGCCGATCGTCCTCCATATGATTACAACTGAATGCTACGACTATCGACTCCACAAGCGCTCATCTTCGATTTTGTGATCGAAATTGTAATAAATGGATCTTTGCAGCACAGAGAGATGAGTTTTGACCCGAGCACAAACAGACCAGAACACAATAATGCGCGCCCAGGTTATACTACGTACAGCTTGAATGAACCTAGAGCAGTCTGAATATCCCATGTATCGTGTAACTGATTCTCGGTAGAACCCTATTCCGTAGCCTGTCTGGGATCACTGCACTGATATGATACGAGTGTCTTCTGGACACTTCAGGAGACATCATCCAAATTAGTAACGTCTAGCAATGTACGAGGGACCTTGTTATCGCGAAGCGAAGAACTACAGTTCTAGACTACACCTAATCTTTGTAAGAGAGCATGATTCGAATCTCTAAAACATATAATGAGTTACATTGCGTAAATCTGTGGTGGAACAAGCTCCACTCAAGCCAACTGGCCACAAGTGTTCACTACCACCTGGCAATATCGAATTTCACAATCGCTTCTACTCGCAAGTGAAGCCGCAGTCCAGCTGCCTCTTGCCATTGTCGTACTTGCCAACAGAACAACGTGCCTTATCGTTTGAATCCCAAGATTGTCCTCCATATGCAAACCTCACAGGGTCAGCATCGACTGCGCCAGTCTTGACCTAACCAAACACTTACAGCCTGCTGGTGACACTTGCAGTAGGCCCACCCTGGGAAGAACAGTCTCCTTACAAAAGGAGGTATGTCGTTGACTCTTGTCACTTCGAGTGAGTAGCTATCCTTGGCAGGGTTTGGCTTCTGGTACTGGACAACGTGTATGCCACACCATCCTGGGGCGAACCCTTTGTTGTTTGTTGGTGCGTTGGAGTTTAATGGGCCTTCACCCTTTCCGATCTTAGGGATACCACAGGTCCACCTCTTAAGTTTGGAGTCTTGAATGTATGAATTGCCCATGTCTCTGATAGGTAGTCAATATAGGTGGTATTCTCAGTGTTACAGAAGAGAAATAGCTTACCCATGACGACAGATGTATGGCCCTTTATTGCAGGTGAACAGACCCTGTCGGTCGCAGTCTTCGTACTTGAGGAACTCCTCGGCGAGGCCTTGTACTGGGAGTACTTTCCAGTCGTCGATATACTTGACCTGGAGTATGGGCGTCGTCAGGCCTTGGCCCTGACCCTTGCCGTTCTTCTCTGCGAAAGTGATACTGAAGTCGCCGATGCGGGGGTCATTGAAGTACTGTCGTCCACCAACAAAGCAGACGTTCCAACCAGCGCCAGCAGGGTTGTATTCTCTCACGCCATCGTTGCATTCAACCGTTGCTTTGCAGTTTGCACCGTTATTTGTTTCCATGCGGACCTGACACATTTGGGGGTTGTCCTTGAAGTCCCTGGGTTGATTTAATGTGCTTGTACTTGAGGGAACTGCGCAACGACCTACCAGAGCTTCGTGGCATCGGGGAGAAGTTCTTTAGAAATTCCAATATACTTCAGAAGAGATTCGGCAGCATCTGGGACTGATCCCCACCCACGAGCTTCAATTGGGCTCGCTCGTACCTGTGGGCTTTGAAGCAAGAACGCTCCGACTGCGATTGTACCGAAAGCCTTCATTATGTTTGCGAAGGTTGTTGAAAGTTTGAAAGTTTGTAAACTTTGTTGTGTAAAGGTTTGATGGAAGAGAGGTGCTCTGCTGTTGAGGTGTGTGGTCTTGGGTCAAGATCATGGGTTCTTATACTCTTCATTCGTTGCCCTTGCTGTGCTAATTATTGTGTACGATGCAGCCCGGTCGGCCTGACGATGTAGCCAAGTTTGAAGGCCTGACGATGTACTCAAAGTTGAAAGCCTGACGGTATAGCCAAGGTTGAGGGCCTGACGATGGAGTCAAAATCAACAGCCTCGCCGACCTGACGATGTCCAAGCTGTACTGCCCAGCCATCGGTGCTTCTGCTGTGATGCTATAAATAAAACCTGGGCAACAAACCCAACAACCACAACGAGACTGAGAACTGCAACAAAATCGACAATCACAATAAGATCTACAGCAATGAAAAGGCCAAGGACCAGATGTTCGGCGACCTAAGAGATTGCTACTGATTCACGGTCGCCTCGAGCTTCAGCCACAGCACCCCATTACGGTGTGTGTCTGGGGAGTCGAGCAGGCATTGAAGGACGCAGTCTTCTGATGCTGTATCTCGAGGTGCCTCAAATTGCTCAAATCATACTAAGCATAATGACTTTATGTACGTTGCGTCGTTCAGATGTACTATGAACAGGACCAATCGGATTTTACTGCTAGAAGATCTGCAAGTCCCATTGGGATATGATATCAGTGCATGCATGACACCACTTACACGAACCGAACGCTATGTGGGCTGTGCAAAGTAAAGTTGTTACGCAGGGTTAGCGCCATGCCATACATGAGGCGCCCTGTCAGACATTTAGTTCGATGAGGGCGCGCTGTTTGGATAGATGCGTAGGTTACTGCAATGAAACCGCCGTCTAAAAGGCTGTGGTTAAGCACTCCACACGTCCTCTACTTGGAACCCTGCATGAGAAGGCATTGGCTGTGGTGGTCGGTTGTCGGCCTTATTTCGACGATAGTTGGTGCTCGCAGAGCTGAATCGTGAATCTTGGCCCGCTTCGCTCCACATGTGCTAGGCGCACAGCCTGTTGGAGTTTTTGAGGAAGACAAGCAAGCAAGCGCGATGATGTGTGGCTATTGCTGCCATTATTGACTTCAGGCGAGCCGGCAAAGCATAGGAGTTTGTGTGGCATGACTAGGTTTGAAAATGTCGTTATGAAAGGGTAGAAGGCCTGAAGAGCGGACGGGCTGGGCGATCTTGGCAGATCCAGCCTCACGCTATCTACCGGTATTTCGATGTCTCTGGGCATAGGCAAGCCGCCGGCACTTGTGAGTGAATTCCAATTTGAGGTCGGCTGGCATCCTGAGTACTGCGAGCATACCTATGTGTGTGTTAGAAACCCTTTGCTACGTAGTAGATTCACGTGTCCAGATTACTGGCGATGGCGGGCTTCGCTTCGTGCAGCCGGTACAAGATCAGATCATATGCCAGTGGCGGCTCATTAGCACTTCTGCTTGCCTGTCCATTGGGGTCAGGCACGCAAGTCTCTTTGATGTGTGAATGAGGGTGGTCACAACAAAGAGATGCAGAAGAATGGTGTGACGAGTCGTTCATCAGCACGGCAGGATGATCCGGGGCGACCTCGGGAGCCGCTGGTCGAGGCCGATGCCGGCTGATGTCCGAGATCACGTGATTTTATCTCAAAGATCTTATCTGATGCAAGGTCTCTTTTCAGCATGCACTCGACGTCCACCGGCATCATGTCTGACGCCAGCCATACGCCCAATTCGGACAGCAACAGCTACGCCAATTCGCCTCTCGCGTCGCCGCTGCCTGTGCCCGACCAAGCTGCAACGCCTGCAACGCCTGCAACGCCTGCAGAGACTGCAGAGACTGCGCGCCTTCGCTCCCGGAGTCAGTGCCTCCCTCGGCTACTCTGCTGCTTTGCAGTTGACTGACAGCTTGCACAGCACTCGTACCAAACCACGTCAAGCCCGCCGACCCGACCACGACGGCCCACGACGCCCCGCCGCTCACCACGTCCCTCGCACAGAATGCAGCCGGCCCCTCCCCCTGTGGAGGCGGCCCCGCGAGCAAGCGGCACACGATCCCCCCGCGCCCCAAGCCCGGCCGCAAGCCCGCTCAGGATGAGCCCCAGACGAAGCGCAAGGCGCAGAACCGCAAGTCGCAGCAGGACTTCCGCGCCCGCAACAAGGCCAAGTTCGAGGAGCTGGCCCTCGCCGCCGAGAGCGCCCGCCAGGCCCACCGCGACGAGGTCGCCCAGATGACGATCCAGATGAACGACTTGCGCAGCCAGATCCGCCGCCTGGAGGAGATCAACCTAGGCATCATGGCCGACCGCGACTTCTACAAGCACGCCTACGAGGGGCAGGCCCGACAGCACGACGGCCACGACGCCAACGCCAACCCCGCCATCTTCACTTCGCAGCCACCCTCGCACTTTGCGCCCATGACGCTGACCATGGCCGCACGTGACGGCGACGACTTTGCCGACAGCGCAAGCCATCTTTGCGGCAGGTGCAGGCCCGATGGCTGCGAGTGTCTCGACGAGAAGCTCGCCCTAGACGACGCTCAGGACCCGCCCTTCATCGAGGCTGTGCCCCTGCCGCTCCGCAACGGCACCACGCCCATGCAGGATGTGCAATCGCAAGCGCCCAAGGCGGAGGATCCCTCTGAGCTCGAGATCGACTTCACCACGTACCGCCCTGTTCCGTCTCGGGAGGAAGTAGACTTCACCATCGACGGAGAGCATCAAAGCTGCGGCTTCTGCACCCGTCCCGACAACTGCCTCTGCCGAGACGAGTCGCTCCGCTCCAGCTCGACCGGTGCTCCGCTCTCCACTGTCACGAGCGCCACGTCCGTCTCCAGTCTCTCCATCCCGCCCAAAGGCACTCCTGGTAGCTGTGCAGCCTGTTTAGCAGATCCCGAGCAGCAGAAGCGTTGTCAAGGCCTCGCAGCCCAGCTCAACTCGCCAACCACCATGGAGCCAAGGTTCGAACCAAGTGTCGACAAGCTCGCACAAAAGTCATCCACCATTCCCGGCATTCGCTCCGTCGGCTGCTCCGAGGCCTTCGGTCTTCTCGACGGCCGAGTTTCCATGGACATGGACAGCCCAGAATGGAGACAACTGCGGCCGCTCCAGTCTACCCACCCAGAGACCCGCAGAGATACGCTCATGTCCATGGAGCCTTCGATGGAGCCTGGCACATTCAGCGCCATGGAGGTTGATGTTGGCAGTATCCTCACAACCCTCCAACACAGCGGTCGGCCACTCAAGCCTCGCCCTTCAGATGGTCGTCTCGCCACCATAGTCGAAAAGGCCGAAGAGCTCCGCCAGGCCACTAACTCGCCATGTACCCAGGCACAACATCAGAGTCAAGAGGTATCCATGTCCGACTTCAACATGGACACGAGGCCCTAGCTGAGCACGGCGTCCCACTTTCCTTACTACATACGATACCCATGACCACTAATACCACCGCATGGAGGTCTTTTGGCGAGTGCGCAGGTTGGCGCACTTGCAAATTCCTAGAAATCAACGACATGGTTGAGAGTCAAGAAATGGCTTTCGACACGAGTCTCGTCTCCAGTCATTGCTCCTTACGAAACCAGGCGGCGGATGTTCAATAATGGCCCGCTGCAATCAGTCCCTTGTGTATATACTACTTTCTGATGCAATAAAAATTTAAATTCTTGACATAAATCTTGACCCTTTTGCATCCTGCGTTGTCCTGCTGCAGTCCTGCACCGCTCTCCAGACTTGTTTTACAGCACGTCGGCCCGGAGGACTAGGTGACCATCACGCCACATGCTCCTTCATCCGAGAGCATCATCTCACCTGATCCGACTCCACATCTCAGCTGCAAATGACGCAGCATAACAAATCACATCCTGTCCAGTACGTAAGCTCTGTACGGCTCCAAAGTGGCTGGAGATGGTTCGGAGCAAAGGCAGAGCTCTCATTGGTAGCGATATCGGCTGTTATCTGATGATATGATAAAATTATGTACGCTAGGCCAGAATAGAGAGATCAGCTCGTTTCGAGACGTCGAGGAATACGGGTTTCAAGATCTAGGATTTACATGAGAGCATGTAACACTGCTATGAACAACATTGCAAATGCAGCATCGATTGATTATAGATCCGAGGTTTTCTCACGCGTGTTTTAGCGGTACGCAAGAATCTGAGTCGAAGATTGAAGTCTTTGGAGAAGAAAGGTTGATATTAATACTTAACAGATATTTGAGAAATATGTCTTAGGTTGATACATTAGAAGGGAGTCACTTACTCTGACGCGTGAACTGCTGCCTAGGTATAGTAGGAGTTTAGTGTCCGTTAACTTGCAATATAACGTTTCGGTGGAGATGTAAATCATGATCTTATGCTTACTCGGTCTTACGGCTTGACATATTGAGAATGTATACAGCAGTATGAAAGATAGAGAGCAGTTTGCTTCGGTCACTTTGACAACAAGCATGTGTCAAAAGGAATAGTGTTTCCGTAACGTATGGTCTAGTTGGTACATTGCATGAGACTGGTTGCCTTCATCTAGGTTTTGTACAGTGAGAACTCTTGCATACAAATTGAATGAATAGATAACAGTAAAATCGAAATACTTGTGAAAATGTTGATAGTGGCAGAGAAACAAGAGCTTGAAAACCACAGGTACATCTATCACTCAATAGTGACAAGTTCATTCGTCAACAGGCTTTTGATATCGACTACGTCCTCAAGCAAACGACTCGACACTGGGCATTTGCTCTTAGCTTTCTATAACTAGCACCATGCCTTGTGCTCATCTTTCCTCCCTTCCACACGTCTCGCTTTTCTGTGCTCCTAGCTCTTCTACATGACACTCGCAAACCTCAGTTCTCTCATCAAATAGAACCACGAATTGGCTCTTTGGTATGACCACTGTATCTACTCTCTTGGGCGCAGGCTAACAAAATCCCAGGCGGAGTGGCACGTTTTACCTACAGGCTCCAAGTGAATAGAGTGCTAACACGAGCAGGTTAACGCGCTGGCCTGCTATTCACAAGCGAGCTAGTTCCTTCGGGAGCGTGTGCTCGAATCACACAGGTGTCGAGCAATTTCTTTTTGCTGCTGGTTTGTAGTGGATGCCGTGCAATGCGGTTGAAGGGGAGACGTGTATTTTCATATCTATAGAGCGACACTGTGGGCAAAACTGCAAACTGATTGCTTTGAGTACACAGAACAATTTCTCTTATCAGTGCAAGCCTGCACCACCATAACTGAAAGCTATTGTCGTCAAACGACAAGTTCCTTCGCAAATACGAACAGTCGATGCTTCGTCCTCCACTTCCCTGCGATCAAGAATCTACCCCCTTCGAACTCTAACACCTCTGGCACGCCCATGCCGCACTTTTCCATGACTCTTCGCGATGGCACGTTTTCGTCGTTCACAATAGCCCGAACGATGAGCTTCTTATGAGGTGCCCAGAGAATAGTCGGAGTAGATTCAATACTCTTCAAGACGGCGGTAATTGACTCCGTAGCGAAGCCTTGGCCCCAGGATGTGGGCAGGAACATGTAAGCAAGTTCCAATGATAGAGTAGTAGCAGTAGATTCATGGTCGTTACGCGGAGGAAACTTGCACTCTTCAGAGGAAAGTGTGCGCAGCGTGATCAAGCCAATGAAGCGCGTGGTTGATTCCTCGAGCAATTGGTGTACTGCATATGGATAGCGATGCACTTTCTCACCGCCTTCAACATGAGGTCTCGCAATCATGTTCTGCAAAGCTTGCTCGGTGTCTGCAGGAGATTTTGAAGGACCGTATAGACTGAGTTTATATTAGTGAGAGACTTCGATAAGGGTGCTGGGGACTACAGTACCTCCACCATGTACTCTGCACATTGCTTCGGACTTCATGAATCCATTTGAATTCTTCACTGCCACGTTCTGCCTTCGTGATGAGCGTGAGCTTTAGGCGCGGAGAATTGATTATCGAGTCCATCGCGAGCGCGTGAAGGGAATTGTCTCTAAGTGATTAGCAGGACCGCGATCCTGAAGCCTCGTGTTGATGAAATTGATAATGCAGGCTGTGGAGTTGCGTGTTTGGAGTCTTTCTGCATCATCTGGGAGTAGCTTTCTTATACCTCGATCGTGGCTTCGTCAGGCGTCGCATCTTCGACAACAACACCTTTCTATAACCGAAGGGCGCGGAACGCATGTCCCAATAACAGATAGACTTTAAAGGCAGAGCTGCTCTTACCAAGAGGTGGACGCTTTAGGTCATCCCGAGGCCCGACGTCGCTTGATTGCTAACCCCGATTCCGATTCCGAACTAAATATTGATGACCTTGCTTGTTCGCAGCGTCTCTTTACATAACCATCGGTGCATTATTCGCCAGTAGCATCAGTAGGAGGGGTAGGAGCAGGCCTGCTTTTTACTTCTGTGCGGTGCACGTGTGATACCGACATCTTCAAATGTCCCAGATACATTGTTGTTTGCCAGCAGCCGTGCGGTGAATCTATTCACGCCAAACCCCAAGGACCGGCAAGACTTGGCTTACTGGGCGCGACTTCCATAATGACGCGTCTTGGGCAACAAAGCTATATAAAGTCCCCCTTTATACTAGATTGGAACTTGCCATGTATATGATTTTCAGGAGTACCGAGGAACTTTCGATGTTTTCTCTTCCATGTCGAATCTGCCTTGATTGTAGAACTTTTCGAAGGATAAGCTGATAGTACTACATATATAAGGCATGAACACATATGCTCAAGAAGTACCTGTGGTAGTTGTTGCATAAGGCTTGCGCGTGCATTACGCTTACGCTCGTTCCCATCACTTGTCCAGTCAGTCCCCGATGGCGACAAATTGCATTGCCTACTTATTCGATTGATGAAACAAGCATTTTCTAGCAGTGGCGAAGAATTTATGCACCGGCAGGGGCTGATTGGCACTTCACCGTTGTGTCCCGGCTTAAATATCAAGCCGCCACTCGAGACAATATGCAAGGGCATGCGGCGGTGCGCTGTCATCCAGAATATGGTTTTGGTGGAGATTAAGTTGGCACCACGTAGCATGTGGTATGAGTTCCAGAAGGACCGATTCGCGCCGCTATGTATCAACACGTCGGCCTAGCTGGCCAGCTTGTCGAAATTGGACGTGCTGAGACCAAAAAGGGGTGCGCCTAGATCTCTGATATGAATGACCAACTATGCTGTTGTATTGGTCTCAATGTGCAGCATATGCGTCTCGTCCCCGACGGCTATAAAATGCACAGTAGAGACCGCTGGGTCTTCCAAGTGTCTCAATAATGTTCCTTCAAAGATATCCTGTGGCACCAGTGATGACCACTCTGATGCCATCTGCCTTCAAGCGGGCGGTCAAATCAAGGTCTTTCTCCCCCCTGGAGATGCCATCCAGAGCCGTTTCGTTTTGCCAATGAATGGTAGAAACCGTAGTCGCAGTATGTACGCTAGAGGCCACCTCCCGCAAGGTAATGGTGCTGAAAAGCTCTCTGCATGTTATTGAGACGTTGAACTGTTCGCGGATCAGGCGCTGCATACGCACAAGTAGATATGGTCTGCCTCACAGGGTGTAAAGGCAGTCTCCGGTCGGATTGCTACTGCCTGGGTAGAATCGCTTGGGAGGGCTTGTGTCCAAATTCGCAATAATTGTTCCTCTATTATGGTAATATAGCTCTTGTACTTGTGGTGCTGGAAAGAAAGAGGGAAGTGGAAGCGCCTAAGCGGCCAGTCAATCCGTCTTGCCGTGACCATTCACTGGGATCCTGTCGAGTGGTACCAAAAGGGCCAGACAGGTGTACTTTGGCAAAGCAAGACGAGACAGAAGAGACTCGAGGAATATTTTCTGCTCTTGCGGTCCGTAGTATCATGGCTCGAACTCCACGTGCCCAAACAGGAAGTCTGGGTTGGGTCGAGCTGATACGATCGCGCTTGCAAGCACTCCGCGTGAAGCATGCAGTAAAGCAGATTCCACGTCACGCATCTCGATAAAAGTTCTGCTGAGTTTAATCTGTGCCTCTCCTTCAATGCGTCTCTCATAATAGGGCTGCCCGTTTCCAAAACGTTCGCTGTCGCCAGTCCGGTATATCAGATTTTTTGGGCTCCCTCCACGAAGTAGCCAGTTGGTGTCAACGATTCTGCAAGAAACTCGACTCTTGTGAGCACCTCCTGGCCAAATTAGCCGTTTGCAACGCCAGCACCCGTCACGGCAATCTCTCCCGAGGCACCGCTCGGTACTGGCTTCAAGCCCTTGTCCACAACGACAACACCACAGTTCTCTATGGGCCTGCCGATTGGAATTGCCACACCTTTATCTTCTTCTACGCTGTAGTCAACATTGGCTGTCGTGCACCATGCGCTAACTTCAGCTGGTCCATAGACATACATTAACAAGATTCAAACTTTTGTTCAGGTAGCTGAACAAAGTTCCAAGTGTACAAGGCAGAGCTTCACGCCCTGAAAAGTCAGACTTGAGACTTGCAGCCTCCATCAGCTCGGGCTTTATCAGCTTGGTCTTTCCATACCGAAGCCAGTGTGCTAGCTTGGAAGAGCTGGCGATGATGAACGAGACGGACTCATCGCGTATAATCTGGACAAGATGTCCTGTGGGTCGCTTTTCTGATTCCTAGAAGCTACCAATAAGCTGCCTCCAGAAAAGGGACCCATTATTACTTGACCAAACCATAGGTCGAAGCTCACTGCGCTCTGTTGCAACGCTACGGGAGACTCACCTTCACGGCAGTGACGCGCCAGACTACCCTTGATGAGATGAACATGGCTATTATGGCAGATTTATATACAGTTGGGCGTACCGGTCGAGCCAGATGTGAAGATGATGAGACTGGGCAGTCAAGTACCGCCCTGGTCTCAATATCGACCAAGGACTCGGTGACCTGAGGGTGGTTCTCCACGTCCAGCACTCTGCAATCTCCAGCCACCGTCTCCATGAACTCGAGTGTCTCTGGACAGCAGATTATAGCAGATGATTTGCTCAAGTCTAATCAGATTGATATCCTCGATGCCGGAAGCCTCGAATCAAGAGATATGTAGGTGCCACCTGCGCCGCAAATGACTAATAGGGAACAGATCTAATCTACAGTCGGTTGTTAGTATCATGCCACACTTTCAAACTTTTCTTCTGCCTGGATGAAGAATAGCCAACTTTATCTCTCTCATTAGTTGAGCGATTTGGGAGTATGTGAGCCTTGTGCCGGAGCCGTCCTGAGCGCGATTGCATTGAGATTTTTCGAGCTTATTTCCTAAACGATATTCGAAGCGGTCTGTTGAAGATTATCAGGTTCGATATCGCCTAGAGACGTTGTCACGGCGTGCTTGACTTGACTGGCATAGTACAAACGTAGAATGCATTCGAAATTTGCCGTGGCGGTAGTACAATCTGTATCTGAGTTTTATAATCTATCTGTTAGCTTAACATACGTCCCCAAAAGTGTCTATACAGCATCCCTCGAATCGAAGTCGGATTGTGCGCTCCATCGAAATCTATCTCAGTTTCACTGATATCATTGACGTCTAGTACCGTGTCCTTCAATGAGTAGTTAAGGTGCGGTGCGACTTTACCAGATTCGTTGTTTTGGCAGTGAATGAGGGTGTCTCAAACTTTCACAGCATGTAGTCCATCATGGCCTGACAGCGAGCTCGAAATTGATGTGAACATGTCGGCGCCAGCGAGCATACCGTATGCTGTACGCAGCGCGAGGAGTAGTGACGCCGGGAGAAGCTATTTTACGATCTGGGGTCGTTAGATTGGGTACTTTGACAGAATTTGGTATGCTATGATGAGCGAACGACGGGAATACTCACCGTGCAGATGCGACTGCTTGACGTGATCACGCTGGGACAGAGCCCTTCTCAGGCTCAACAGCATCGCTACTAGAAAACCACCAGAGAAACGAAGTATCCAATCTTATAAATCGCCGCCTGCAAGGACGCCTGGCCAACCCTGCCCGTCATAGTTCCCGCACTGATGAGTAGCCTTGTGGAGAGCAGAATGAGTGAGAACAGCGCAGACACGGTATTTAAATGCAGAATACTCTACTTAGGGGAGTCCACCATAGATGAGACTTAAAAATCTATCGTAGGCGAGGTACAAGGGCACTATACCCGTATTAAGAAGACTTCAGGTCGTCTTGATCATCTCCGCGTTGTCTTGACTTAAGTCCTTCTCAACTGAAATGATTAAGGCCCCGGCCCACAAGCCGTACTATAGCACGCATTCAGCATGGTAAAGAATAGTCTACGTGCAAGAATAGAGGGACGGGACGTACTGAGTGTGAAGATCATGACCATGTAACATGCCTCCGGGGAGCGATACTTCTAGCATCGAAAACCAATGTGCTGTGCGTATAGTGTGACAGGTGCGTAGCCGATCACTAACGCGATGGCGACGGTCGCGTGAGGCTTCATGCTGCTTTGTGATCGCAGAATCGGTAGACATCAGGCGAAGAATAGTCAATACCAGATCGAGCAGAAGAGGAAAAGGCAGCTGAAGTATGCGCTTGCTTTCTTTGTGAGTGTTAGATAGAGTGAAGGCAAGCAAGCGGCTATTCAACCGGCAGTGTATGTGGAGATAACGGTGACCAGGATACCACCAAGTGAACAAGAAGTCCTTGCCCTCTACTACAGTGCGCCGCATGTGTCGCACATTTAGCGCCAGGCGTCCCAAACTGGGTAGGACAGTAGTAACCCAACACGAGCAGTCGCAAGTAAATTTCCCTATTTGGCGAGGACGGCTGAGGTTTGAAAGCGAAATTTCTGAGTCAAAACATATCTGTCTTCTAGCGAGTAATGTCCTAGAGCGCAACAGCAACACGCTTGCGCTACTGGTTCGCTATCGCCGGTACCTGGCAGCGTAAAACCATGACACCTTATCGCGTATTGGGCGCGCAACCTATCGTGATGTTGTCTTGAAAAGGACGATGCTGATTTCTGCGCTACACCTGGGTGGAACTACTTTTGTCACCTTGTGTAAGCTAGCCTTACATAGATCAGTATCGAAGGCGTGACAGAATCACGTTCTAACTGCATTAGCTCGTCCACCTGCACCAAAGCTTATTCGATATTGGCGTACAGCTAGGGTTGAGTCCGAGGACATGGGTGGGGTGTTCCTAAAGTGGGCTTTGTGGCACCCAGCAACCAATCGCAACACCGCAGCAATTTTGCTGCACTCTGCCAGTTGCAAGCAGCCAATCGCATCACCCACCTGATTAAGCTTAAACATGACCTCCAAGCTTGGCTCCAAGCCTCACCAAGTCTCGCAGTCCTGTCGATCTAACTTGAAGTGAGCCCTTTTTCAATTTACACACCCTCGCGCGTCAGCAATGCATTAGTCCACCTATCGCACACGCTACACAGCAATACCTAGAAAGGCAAAGACGGAAGACCGAAGCTCGCACGAGCCGTTGACCCTCACCCCCACCCCACCCCACCCCTACCTTTTTCACTATCAGTAGCTTACTGCGCCACATTTGCAGACCCTCTGTGCTCAGCCCCGACGCCAGGGATGCGATTGCTAGGCCACAACCCTACACAATATTGCTTGACGTTCTTCCTACTTTCTTCCTTTGCGACCACCCTCTCATCTCCAATTTCAGCATTCTCTTGCTAGCCTCTAACATTCTGTTTCTACATTGCCATGAACCGTATGCAACATAATGCCGACGGCTGCCGGCAACAACCAGTTGGCGGTCCCGTTGGCATGCTTGTGCGAGGCATTGCGGCCGGGATTGGTCTTGCATCCGAGAGTTACCAGCATCACAAAGAAAAGAAATCTACGCAGACACGAGAGGTGAGAGACGACGAGAATGATATAGCAGTGACAAGAGAGGGGCGTGAATCGCAACAGGACGCTTGCATATCGCAACAAATGGACGAGGCCGCATGGGAATTGGATGAAGCACAAGATGATCAAGTTCCCGAAAACAGATCCAGACCTGCGGCTGCCACCGATGAGGACGTTACGGGTCTTGCTAATTCATTTCTCGTCGCGCATGCTCGACCTCATCCCTATTCCTTGGGCCAGCTCGCTCTACCCGTCGTCATCACTCAGCGACGCCCCGAGTCTCGTACCAAGGGCTTTATTCGTGCCTATTCTCCTCTTCTCGAAGATGTAAACATCGATCAGGCGACTTTTCTCGACTTTCTCGGCAATCTTAACAAATCTCTTGCACCCAGTCCCTGGATCCAAGCTATCAACTTGGCCGCATTCGCAGGGCAGAAGATTCCCGAACCATTCACAATCATGATATCGATTGCTGTCAAGAAGGTAGCCGATGCAGCCAGTGAGCTCCAAAGCCGCTCGAAAACCAATCGCTTCCTCGACCAGGTCAATGAAGACTTCTTTGCGCCCCGCGGCCTGGTCGCCCTGATCATGACGTGGAAACCCAGTCAGAAAGACGCCGTGTTGACTAGGGCCGAATTCGACATGCAGTCCTCGATTGCCAAAGCCTCAGATGCCAGGAAGTCGCGCCGTCTGTTCGAGAGCTCGAGTGGAGCGACATCGTTTGAGTGGCCGCAAACGGCACCGCTTGTGTTTCCCGCTCTTGATGAATTGGAGGGTGAAAAGCAGGCTGCCGTCAAACGCAGTGGTAAATACGTGGCCGAGTACATGGATAGAAGAGCGCGGGCAAAGTGGGCTGGAGAAAACCCCGAGAGCGCTTTGGCCAATGCTACTAGCAAAGAGAAATTCTCGTCGAGATACGCAGATCCAAATCACCCGGCAAGTAGTGGAGACCCTATTGCCTTGTTAACAGGCGGGTAAGTAGCGCTGCCAAATTTGCTTTGGCTTCAATGCTGACTGATCACCGGCAGGTTCATTCAAGCAGGGCTTGGCAGACAGATGGGTAATGATAACTCGAGAGGTGGACTTTTTGGTGGTATTCGCGACCACGAAGGAGCAATGGGGTTGGGAAGGGGCAGAATGGATGGATGGCAAAGAGGGGGGGAGTCTTCTCGTGGAGCCGGCCGGATTGGACCCTCAGGTGGTGGTCGGGGTGGCATCGCTGGCAGCAGCGTCGGCCCGCTGACCTTGGTAGAAGGCGCCAAGAAGCTTTTCCAGGATGTAAGTGGAGAAGCTTTTGATGGAATACCCGCGTCCCTACACGATGCTAACGTGCTGACAGGATGTGCTTTACCTCATGATCGTACAACGACCAACGGACGAGCAGATGGCAGCAGCAATGCAGCGTATAGGGTCTCTAGGACAGACTCGTCACTAATAGCACGTGCTATAACTGAAGTTGCAGGATCGTTAAGACATGGAAAGACAAATATGGGAATGTAGCAATGTTCACTAGTTCACTGTGCACATGGTGGACGTTCGCAGACTACAGGTCTACATGCATCTATCTATATCCTCTTCCACAGCGCCCCCCGTCGGCATGGCTAAGCGTCAAGGCAACACTCTGACGGAACACTGACCCACGCGCCTCGATGCGCGCAACATGCTGCACAAGGCGTATGACGACATAGCCGGCGTCGATCAGGGCGCTCTGCTGACCCAGCAGGAACTCTGTCGAGTTATCAATGGTGAAGTTGAAGAACAGCCGCTGTAGTTCCTTTGTCTCGCCATCTTTGGGCAGCTTGTCCACGAGATTATAGAAGTGCGTCTCGACGCCTTCGAAGTCAGACACCTGGGCTCCTGGGGAAGCTGGATCGGATAAGTGCCTGTTCCCATCATCAGTCCGCCATTACAGCTGCTCCAAGGAACCGAATACTTGCCCTTGAATGCTCCCAACGCGCGCCATCCGTTGTGAAGATACCATAGCCAAGGAGCCGTCCCATGGCACCAAGCCAGGAGCCAAGACTGATTTGACGTTCTCAGGCTCAGATGTAATGATCATCGACTGCGCCATGAGGCGGAGCGTCTGCGTGCGCCGACCCGTCGTCAGGTAGTGTTAGCTCAGACTCTCGAGCGCTTTCCGCTCAAGAGCATTCTGCTTGGACAAATAGAACTTGTCAAGCACGAGCACGAGGTCGAGCTGGCCCCATTGTGCAGCTGATTTGCATTCTGTCTAGCATTTAAACCTTTGCATTTGAGTAAGGGAGACGAACCATCGCGCAAACCTAATCATAACGATGAGCGTTAGAGCAGCTAGAGCAACGCTATTTAGATACATCGTGATTAATAGGTGTACCTGTTAAGGCCGATTCTCTTACCCTTGTATTCCAGTCACGCTGTTGTCCGAATCAGGATTGACAGCTTATGCTGGTCAAAATGTACTAGCTAAGCTTATCAGTTATTTTTTATGCAACAGATCGCTACGAGCGTAGCGAAGTTGATGTTTGGAGGGATCAAGCACAGCTCCGAAGCAGTGATCGCCTTGGTGACACCCACGATTTTACAAGAGAATGTCAATAAAATCTAGTGTCTTTTTAGAAGACTTGATTGACACAACATACCCCGATACCCCCTCTTAATGTCTGAGGTTGAGTTTTATCTACGGATAGATTATAATTACGGGTATTTCTCAACACAGAATGACTGACCGAGCTGATAAAGGTGCCATGCCCACTAAACACTCTCGCAACGGCAGAAACTTCAAGCGGATCTCCAACTTGAGTACCTGTACCGTGGCACTCGATCATAGCTGTCTCGTAGTATGGCAAGCCTGCTATATTATGAGTTCATCTCATCAGAGCCTCGTGGCTCACCGAGTTAGGTAACGAAAGACCAGCTGTTCGACCATCTGAATTGACAGCACTGGACCGAACAATTGCTCTGATAGTATCGGGTATCGCGAACCGTATCAGAAAGATTGTTCACCAAATACCTGGCTTCTGAAGTATCCAAGCTTGCAGCAAATAGCAGGAAGGCGCCTGTTCATCTTCGATAGAGCGGTGACCACGTCCGTTGGCATGTTGCAAATAACAGAGTGGCTCCATTGACTCCCAGTCAGACGATTTTCTTTGCTTCCACCCCTGAGCTTCCCGCACGTTCCGGACTACAATTTTCTCCCAGGGCAGTCTCAGGGTCTTGGCGCTTCTGGGACATGAAGTCTGTGATGCGCCTATTGGCCTCTCCGAGATCATCCTTTGTAACGATGGTGAGCGCTTTGAGCGAGCCGTAGTGAGGGTAAGAATCCAACCCGATGGAGCTGCTTCCCCTTCTATGGCGGCTCATACTCCGGTTGCGAACTGGCGTTTCGGGCCCACTGGGCGGCGTGCTCTTCAGTTCGGATTGGTAGGTGCCATCATCTTGAGAACTACTGGTGCCCAACATCTCCAGTTCGAGATCGGGAAAGATCTGTAACCCAAGCGTGTCGATGACGTCCACAACCTGAGCAGAAAGATCTTGCCTCTGGACCCGAATCTCGGCCAGCGCATGCGCTGATTTAGGACTCAGGGCGGCGAAAAACGGAGGCAGTGATTTGATGATATCGACGCTGACCTCGCAGATGCGAAGGCCGGCGAAACTAACTGCAATGCAGGCAGATTAATAAGTAAATTAATGAAGCAGCAGGCTAGCAAATAGATATAGATAACTTACATATAGGTATAAGTTAGAGTATAGTTAAGTATAGGTTAACTAAAGTTAAGTTAATGCTAAGATTATATAAGTTAGAGTTAAGTATTATATAGTTATAAGGTAGACTGCAGGTATAAAAGGCTTAGATTAATAAGAAATACTTATATTTAACTAAAGAAAGAATAGTAGATAAAGAGTCTACTAAGAGAAGAGAGTAGCTAGCTATATATACTATAAAGCGTATAGGCGCTAAGCTAGCATATATACTAGCCTAGAGTAGACTAGCTAAAGTAAAAAGAAAGAGAAGAGAAAGCTAGAGTAAGTAAGATATACTAGAGCATAGATAGTAAATTAGAAAAGAAATAGTAAGTTAAATAGAGATACTTTACTTAATGTAAAGCACTACTAAGACAGCTATACTACTAAGCTAGCTACTTTTTCTTAGTATTACGAATACTATATATAAAATATAAAATTACTCTATACTCTCTATAGATTCTTCGTATAATATAGCTATATTAGATTTAGAATCTTCTTCTATATCTTTCTAATATATATAAGTATTATATCTAGTCTCTTTATAGTTACTATAGCATTATTAAGCTAGCTAAGGCTTTTGTTAACTATCTCTACTACTACTCTTCTTAGATATTATATAAGCAGTAGAAGCACTTTTAGCTACTTATAATATGCTTATACTAAACTCTATTATACTACTTATCTAAATTTACTTCTTTTTATATCTTTTACGCCTTATTAACTTTACTACTTATTCTTTAAGCTCTTATATGCAAGCTTTAATTAGAATATTTTTATATAATATCTCTTTAGCTTCTTTAATAAGCTTTAAGAAGCTTTCTTAGGCGCTTATTAGTAATTATATAATAGATTCTCTTATAAGCCTTAATTATTATTAGAACTTAGGCCTAAGAGGCTAGAGCTAACTAAGCCTTAGGTATAAATATCTATTAATTGCTACTATAGCTTAGTAGCAATTTATCTCTAGTCTTATAGAATAATATACTCTTATTTCTATTATTACTATACATCTAGTATCTAATAATATTATATTATCTAATATTTAAATTGCTTACTCTATAATACTCTTATATATATTATTCTAATACTATAAGCTTATAGGTAGGCTTATTAGGTTCTATGCATTATAGAGAAAGGTAAGCTACTCTTACTCTATATATAGTAGATAATAATGCAGAGAAGATATTCTCTTTATTCTCTAGTATAGTAATACTACTCTTAGAGAACTAGTCTAGCCTATTATAGCCTAGCCTAGATTCTGCTATACTAACTTTAACTCTACTAAGTAATAATATAGTAGTATAGGCTAGGCTAGCTTCTATTCTACTTTCTTAGTTAGTAATAATTAATAATAATAGTAACCTAGCTATAATTATAAGAGAGCTAGAATAACTCTAGAATTAGGCTAAATTTAAATATAACTGCTAAGAACTAGTATAACTTAGAGAGTTAAAGTATAAAGTATAAGTAAGTAACTTATTAGCACTTAATAAGAGCTTTGCCTATCTAGTTCTAACTTATAAAGCTAAGCTTATATTAAATCTTAGTACTCTCTATCTAAAGAATCTAGAGATATTTATAAACTATAACTACTTATAGTATAACTACTAAGTATATAACTATAAAGTAATATTTTATAAAGTACTTAATATATTTTATTCTAATCTCTATAAGATAGATTTTATAGTAAAGTTTCTTAATAAAACTACTTACTCTATTTAGAATATATTTACGTAAGATTAGAAATAGTTAGACTCTACTTAGTAGCTCTTATAAGCTTAACTTAAGATAGTAATACTTAATTATCTTAGTTCTAAGATAATATAGCGCTTTATAGCTTATAATAATCTAAAATATACTAGATAGTAGTAGAATTAGAACTCTAACATTCTTCTAATAAAGATAAATATATTATAAAGTAAGCTAAGTAATTATCTAGAAAAGTAGTATAGAATAGACTTTATAAGCGCGCTGCTCTTAGAGATCTAGAGAGAACTTCTACTAAGAAACTCTCTTAAATATATAATAGTCTTTAAGCTAAATATTCTTACTTACTATTATTAGAGTAAGATAAAGAGAATAACTATTCTCTTAGAGTATCTAGTATCTAAAAGAGAGAGTTAAGATAAGACTTTACTAGATTTATACTTAAAGCATTTATAGAACTAGAAGAAAGCTAAAAGGTCTAACGTAGTAAAGATAGAACTAAAGCTAGCTAAATAAGCTTAAGATAGCTTAAAAGACTCTATATTAGTCTATTAAAGCTATAATAAGCCTAGATACTTCTAGAGAGAGTATCTAGAGTCTAAAGATATAAAATAAAAGATAGCTAATCTTAGCGTAGAGAAAAGTAGTAAGTAGAGAAGCTAGAGTTCTTTCTTACTATCTATATTACTCTTAATCTAGTATTAAGAGATCTTAGACTTCTTTATAATATACTTTATCTAAAGCTTACTAAGCTATTAATAGTAAACGTAGCAATTAGCTAATTAGAGCTTATAGAGACTATAATTAATAGAGATTTATAGCTAAACTTTATTTCTATAGTTCTTATAAAGAAGTATAACTTACTAGTTTAACTCTTTCTAATACTATTAGTAGAGAGTATAAATAGTAAGAAGCTAAAAGTCTATAGAACTATAAAGGTTACTATAAGAATTATAGACTTCTATAGAAGAGAAGAGATATATAATATAGCATTTATAGTCTCTAAGATTCTAAAGTACTAAGTATACTTAAATCTACTCTAGATAGACATATATAATTCTAAAATTAGCTACTAAATATATAAGCTAATCTTTAGAGGCATAAAGTCTAAGAATTAGATAGTCTTCTAGAAGATTATAGTAGAAGAAGCTAAAGAGTTTAAAAAAATAATACGTAACTTAAGTATAGATATATATAGCTATCTTATTACTTTAGTAATCTAAACTAGCTTAGAAGAGGCTAGAGAGAATAAGATCTCTCTATAATATACTAAGTTTATATAATTAAGCTTAGAAGATAACTTAAGAGTTCTAGCAGACTATAGTCTATAAGATTTAGCTATTAACTTACTATCTAAGGCTATAGTGCTGCACTAGCTATTATATAACCTCTCTAAGATAAAGCTTAAGTTATTATATAAGTATCTAGATAAGTACTTAGCGCATAGCTAAATTAAGTATAGTAAGTCTTTAGCTAGAGTACTTATTCTCTTTACTAAAAAGAAAGATAGTAGTATAAGACTATTGTAAGAAAGTAGTAGGTAATATTAAGATAAATAACTACTACTCTCTATAAATAGAAAGATAGCTATTAAGTAATAATAGATAACTATAAAAATAGTTATATAACACTTGCAATAGTAGCAAATAATAGACGATAGGTAAAATATCAAATTAGAGGTACTATCTAACTCTAGAGATAGCTATAGTATATATAATACTATTGTATCTAACTATAGCTAGTACTATCCTAGCTCTGCTATACTAAAATCTAAGGTTTAGAACTCTAATATTAATTTCTAATAATTCATAATTATTAATAAGCTCTAATAGCTTATAAATTCCTTATTTAGATTATAAATCTCTTAGACTAGTAAAATAGCTTATACTAGCAGTTCTTAGAATAGAGCTAAAATACTAGCTAATACTAATTAGTATAGGCTAGTAACTACTAATATAAGCTCTAGTAAACTATCTTTACTAGTTTACTATTACCCTGCATTCTAGATAGATAAGCCTAATTAATACTAGCTAAAACTAGATTTTAGGCTAAATACAGAGAACAACGAAATATAGGCAAATAGAGCAGAAAGGAGAAAAGAGAGATAACTAAGCTAATATTAAAGCTATTAATAAGCTTATTTAACTTCTAGAATAAGATAGTAATATATATTTTATATATATTACTATAATAATTCTTTATAACTATACGTTAACTACTAAAGTCTTAATAAAGTAACTATTAAGAACTAGTACTTTCTACCTCTTATTACTAAATCTCTAGAGAGACTAGCTAGTATAAGGTTCTTATACTAAGCTAGATATAAAAGAAGCTTATTATAGAGTTTATATTTAAGAAGATAATAAATAAAAAATAGTATTCTATATAAGATATAGTAATTTTAAGTATACTATAATGCCTTTTAGTCTTATAAACGCGCCTGCGTAGTTCTAGGCTTATATCTATTAAGTCTTAGCAAGATTAATAGATATATTCTATATTATATACTTAGATAATATTCTTATCTTTTCTAATATAGAGAAAGAGCATATATGCTATATAATAGAAGTATTATATAGATTATATAATTTAAAGCTATATCTTAAGCTTCTAAAGTATAAATAGTATACTTAGTATATAGAGTATCTAAGCTATATAGTTATATCTAAGAAAATTAAGATTAATAAGAACTATATTAAGATAATATAGAAATAGCCTAAACTATGCATAGTGCGTAAGATTTAGATATTTATTAAATTTATAAACTATTATAGATAGTTTATTACTAACTTCTTCTAGCTTACTCTATCTCTTACTAAACTAACCTAGAAGAAGCTAGAAGTAGCTAGAGATAGCTACGCTTAGCAAAGAGAAGAAAGCTAAGTTCTTAATCTTAATAAAAAGGCTAAGAAGATCTTTTAGAAATTAAAAGATTTATTTCTAAACGTTCTAATTCTAGCTTATTTTAAGTAGAATAGAGAAATAAGAGCAGAAGTTAATACCTCTAGTAAGGTAATTATAGGCATTCTAAGCTAATTTATCCTAAACTAGTATAGTAAGAGCTAATAGCAGCTAATTAACTTCTTCTTATATAAGCTTATAGCAGCTAAGTATAACTATAATACTTATAACTAGAAGCTACTTATAATAGTTAAGAGCCTAGAGTATTAGAGGCAATATCTTAAGAGTATCTATTTTAAGCTCTTAACTAACTACTAGAACTTAAAATAGTTTATAGAGACTAAGACTCTTAGCTACTAGCAAGTAAAGTTATATCTTATACTATCTAAGTTTAACTTTACTATTATATACTAACTAGAGACTATAAATCTAGCAGATAGGCTATTCTAAAGACTAGACTATATAGCTAAGGCTTAAAAGCTAGCTTAGAAGTATAACGAAGCCTTTATTTAACTAATAAAAGATATTCTAAAGTAGAGTAACTAGAATACTATTTTAGCTATAGCTATTACTACTTAGTTAGTAAGCTATTCTAAGGAATAGAAGAACCTTACTAAGATAGTAAAGAAATTCTAGCAGATAGATAAGCGCTATATTTCTAACTTATATAGTATAGAAGAGTAGAAGAAATCTAATTATGCTTTCTTAGCTACCTCTAATAAGTTAAGCTCTAAAGAGAATAACTTAGGCCTAGAAGAGACTATAAGAATCTATTATATAGTATAAATACTTATAACTAATAAAGATAAGTTACTAGCTATCTAATAGTATTATAATAGCCTATTAGTAAACTACTTTAGAGCAAGACGTACTCTTAAAAAGCTATAACATTACTATATATAGAAGAGTATATATAAAGATATAGAGTAGTACTATAAAGACTGCCTTA